AATAAAAATATCTACAATATGGCCAAGTTTAAAAAAATTCTACCGTGTAGTTTTTTATTTATAGGCCTTTGTTTGCAAAGTTACCTGGACATAGGAAGTTAATTATTAAATATTATATTACGCGTATTCGTGTCATCCGACTTTGTCGATGATTTTCTATCATTTATTTTTTTGTGCCACCTCCAGATTTTGGATATATTATAGACAATAAGAATATCTACAATATGGCCAAGTTTAAAAAATTCTACCGTGTAGTTTTTATTTATAGGTCTTTGTTTGTTAAAGAACCGAATTCTTAACTTATTTATCAAGATTATATTACGCGCATTTGAGTCATCCAACTTTGCCGATGTTTTCTATCATTTATATTTTTGTGCACTTTCCAAATTTTGGATATATTTTAGACAATATAAAATTCTATAATATACTTGAGTTTAAAAAAATTCTACCGTGTAGTTTTTTAGCTATAGAGCTGTTTGTCGAATGTGGTGCCAACTTCACGGTTTATTCTCAAGGAATACTATTCCTTTTATATTTTGTGCACTCTCCAGATTTTGGATATGTTATAGACAATAAAATATCTACAATATGGCCAAGTTTAAAAATTCTACCGTGTAGTTTTTTATTTATAGGCCTTTGTTTGCAAAGACCTGGAATAGGAAGTTAATTATTAAATATTATATTACGCGTATTCGTGTCATCCGACTTTGTCGATGATTTTCTACAACTTTTTTTTTATGTGCCACCTCCAGATTTTGGATATATTTTAAACAATATAATTATCTATATTCTGGCCAAGTTTAAAAAATTTCTACCGTGTAATTTTTTATTTATAGGCCTTTGTTTGAAAAATTACATGGATATAGGAAGTTAATTATATAAGATTATATTACGCGCATTCGTGTCATCCGACTTTGTCGATGATTTTCTATCATTTATTTTTGTGCCACCTCCAGATTTTGGATATATTTTAGACAATATAATTATCTATATTCTGGCCAAGTTTAAAAAAATTCTACCGTGTAGTTTTTTATTTATAAGGCTTTGTTTGTTTTAGAACCGGAATTCTAAACGTAATTATATAAGATCATATTACATGCATTCGTGTCATCCGACTTTGTCGATGATTTTCTATCATTTATTTTTTTGTGCCACCTCCAGATTTTGGATATGTTATAGACAATAAAAATATCTACAATATGGCCAAGTTTAAAAATTCTACCGTGTAGTTTTTATTTATAGGCCTTTGTTTGCAAAGTTACCTGGACATAGGAAGTTAATTATTAAATATTATATTACGCGTATTCGTGTCATCCGACTTTGTCGATGATTTTCTATCATTTATTTTTGTGCCACCTCCAGATTTTGGATATGTTATAGACAATAAGAATATCTACAATATGGCCAAGTTTAAAAAATTCTACCGTGTAGTTTTTATTTATAGGTCTTTGTTTGTTAAAGAACCGGAATTCTTAACTTATTTATCAATATTATATTACGCGCATTTGAGTCATCCAACTTTGCCGATGTTTTCTATCATTTATATTTTGTGCACTTTCCAGATTTTGGATATATTTTAGACAATATAAAATTCTATAATATACTTGAGTTTAAAAATTCTACCGTGTAGTTTTTAGCTATAGAGCTGTTTGTCGAATGTGGTGCCAACTTCACGGTTTATTCTCAAGGAATACTATTCCTTTTATATTTTTTGCACTCTCCAGATTTTGGATATGTTATAGACAAAAAATATCTACAATATGGCCAAGTTTAAAAAATTCTACCGTGTAGTTTTTATTTATAGGCCTTTGTTTGCAAAGTTACCTGGATATAGGAAGTTAATTATTAAATATTATATTACGCGTATTCGTGTCATCCGACTTTGCCGATGATTTTCTACAACTTATTTTTTTGTGCCACCTCCAGATTTTGGATATATTTTAGACAATATAATTATCTATATTCTGGCGAAGTTTAAAAATTCTACCGTGTAGTTTTTATTTATAGGCCTTTGTTTGAAAAATTACATGGATATAGGAAGTTAATTATATAATATTATATTACGCGCATTCGTGTCATCCGACTTTGTCGATGATTTTCTATCATTTATTTTTTTGTGCCACCTCCAGATTTTGGATATATTTTAGACAATATAATTATCTATATTCTGGCCAAGTTTAAAAATTCTACCGTGTAGTTTTTATTTATAGAGCTGTTTGTCGAATGTGGTGCCAACTTCACGGTTTATACCAGAGTACATTCTCAAGGAATATTATTTCTTTTATTTTTTTGTGCCACCTCCAGATTTTGGATATATTATAGACAATAAGAATATCTACAATATGGCCAAGTTTAAAAAAATTCTACCGTGTAGTTTTTTATTTATAGGCCTTTCTTTGAAAAATTACATGGATATAGGAAGTTAATTATATAAGATTATATTACGCGCATTCGTGTCATCCGACTTTGTCGATGATTTTCTATCATTTATTTTTTTGTGCCACCTCCAGATTTTGGATATATTTTAGACAATATAATTATCTATATTCTGGCCAAGTTTAAAAAATTCTACCGTGTAGTTTTTATTTATAAGGCTTTGTTTGTTTTAGAACCGGAATTCTAAACGTAATTATATAAGATCATATTACATGCATTCGTGTCATCCGACTTTGTCGATGATTTTCTATCATTTATTTTTGTGCCACCTCCAGATTTTGGATATGTCATAGACAATAAGAATATCTACAATATGGCCAAGTTTAAAAATTCTACCGTGTAGTTTTTTAGCTATAGAGCTGTTTGTCGAATGTGGTGCCAACTTCACGGTTAATACCAGAGTACATTCTCAAGGAATATTATTCCTTTTATTTTTTTGTGCCACCTCCAGATTTTGGATATGTCATAGAAAATAAGAATATCTACAATATGGCCAAGTTTAAAAAAATTCTACCGTGTAGTTTTCTATTTATAAGGCTTTGTTTGTTAAAGAACCGGAATTCTTAACTTAAATATATAAGATTATATTACGCGCATTCGTGTCATCCGACTTTGTCGATGATTTTCTATCATTTATTTTTTTGTGCCACCTCCAGATTTTGGATATATTTTAGACAATATAATTATCTATATTCTGGCCAAGTTTAAAAAAATTCTACCGTGTAGTTATAGGCTATTTAAGAGAAATGGAAAGTACACTGTAATATAAATCTTAGTGTTTTCTTCAATTTCTTGACTTTTATACATTTTTTGTGATGTTTAAGGACTGTAAAATAGTAATAAACAGTTAAGAATTATTTTTTACAGTTGTATTTGATGGAAAACGTGTTTTAAAGACGATTTTTTGATTTATCATTTTGAATGATAAATTTTAGTTGAATGTGGTGATGAATGTTGTGATGAATGTTGTGTTGAATGTGGTGCCCAATGTGGTGCCAATTTCACGGTAGTAGCTTGATGGACCAGGTTCTTCAGCTGGTTATCGCTCTGTGTGGCATACCTTGCAACGGGAAGGTTACCAAGTGCCCAGGGAAACGATCAGGGTTTTTGTTAAAGAGTTGGATCCTGATGGCGTGAGGGAAAGGCAGGGCAAAACCCTTAGGCGAAGAACTTACCACAACCCAGGTCCCAATTATGCTTGGCATGTTGATGGCTATGACAAACTTAAGCCATATGGCTTCCCAGTGCATGGATGCATAGATGGATATAGCCGAAAAGTTTTATGGCTTAAAGTATGCAAAACAAATAACAATCCTGCTGTTACAAGTCAACACTTCCTGGATGCTGTTAAGAAGTATGGTGGATGCCCCACATTGTTGAGAACAGACAATGGGACTGAAAATGTCATAATGGCTGCAATGCAAGCTTATTTTAGAACTAGTGGGGATGAGATGGCAGGTATCAATGCTCATCGGTATGGTTCCTCTCAGTCAAACCAGCGGATTGAATCTTGGTGGGCATTTCTCTGAAAAAATCGCTCGAACTGGTGGATGAATTTTTTAAAGATATGATTGAGACAGGGCATTTAAATACATCAAGTGATCTAGACAAGGAATGTTTGTGGTATTGCTTTGCCAATTTATTACAAGAAGATCTAACAAGCGTCAAGTTGGAACTCCCACTACATCCGTAAGTCAAGGTTTGACACAGTTGCTGGAAGACCAGATGAACTTTACTTTCTCCCTGAATGCAATGGTGCACAAAATTATGCAAAGCAAGTGACTGATGCTCAATTTCAAGATATGTCTCAATATTGTCATGAGTACATGGAAGAAAATGTTATTCAAGAATATTATTGCACCATTGGAAATGAACTTGGTATGTCTCAACCAACACATTGGAAATGTACCATATCTTACGTGGAATTGCCCAAAGCTGAATTTAAATTTTTGAAAAAAAATTTTGAATTTAAATTTTTTTTTTTTTTTTTGGCACACCATTTGTAAATAATGTCTGTAACATAACTCTGCAAAGTTTAACTAAATCCCCAAAAAGGGACACATTGTTATTCTTCCTCACAATTTACTAAATATTCCTCCATTCATTAAAGCTGTCAGCAAGCAATGGGCCAGGCTACAATCTAGTGTCTTCTTGTTCACATACAAATGCAATGAGTTGGAACAGGTCTGAGCTGATGGTATCATCTTGCCATCATCATGAACAAATGTGATTGTTGGTTTAGGTACAAAGCCAATAGTAGGTGCGTTGGTTGCACCAGTTGCAAATAGAAGAATATGCTTAGGAGTTGCTTCAGAAGCAAAGCGCTCCTCTTCTTCTGTCAACTCGATTCTTCATCATGTAAGTTTCCCAGCAAACTTCCATCTATTAAATAGTAATATGTAATACATATCATATGACACAGAAATATACAGAAAAAGACACTTATTAAATCTGCCATTGCAAAAGCAGATGCTTCGATCTGGGACAGATCACATTGTCACTCACCTTCCATGGACTTGATGAAGGCGATAAATTTAGCCATTATTATTTCTTCTGGTTCTCTGATGGTGACCAATTGGAGAAAAATTAGGTTTCATGATTTTTATCAGCTTGCTGCCATCCATCTTTTCCTCTGGATTGTACTGGAATAAATAGTTTGCCATTCCTTTATTAGCACGGACCAGTTGCAAAACCTTTGAATAGGAAAGGCATTTTACTTATAGTATATAGAAATCAATAATTAATACTATTGCAATATTCAGTGCTAATATCTGCTGTGTATATTATTCAATGTATTAACCAATAATACATGACTAGCATTAGTTTCTCTGTTTTGCTTTGTTTTACATAATACCCCAAAGTGCTACTACTATAACACTATTATGGAGGCAGGCAAATAAAATAAAATTAAACTAAACTTTGAATTAAATATACGACACCACATACATCATAATAATTGAGGCCTTCAATGAGCTGATCAAGCATTGGTTTGCATTTTATGATGATGAAGTATTTGGTGACCTCCTCAATGAACATCAGCTTATCTTTAATTAGGAGGGTTTGGGACAATCCATCAATGTCATATCTCCACTCACTCTCAGCCAAAAAAGAATCAACACCCCCTTGATCCTTTGCAGCTTTCAGCTATAGTAATAATGAAAACAATTGTTGCCAAAATTGTTTAAAAAAAAATTAAGTTTCAAAGAATTTAAGTGTCAATAAAATTGGCAAATTGGTTTCTGCCATGTGATGTCGAACATTTGATACCTTTAAAGAGAATCTCTAATGTTCTTGTCAGGTAGCTCGTCTATATCTGGTGTACAGCTGCCAAACCCTGCCTCAATATATTGGCAAACAGATTTGCTAAATATTCGTGGCAATTCTCCACCTTGCACAACAAGTGTAGCCAACATGTGTCCAACAGCCAAAATGTTCCTTGATTCAAGGCTCCAACATTGCAGCGAATTACACAACCTGTTGGCATGCCTACAGAAAATTTATATTTAGCCAATAAAATAAAGTGGCACACTCTACAACCAGGCTACAGACTGAAATGAAATCAAAACTTGAAATTTAGTACACAACATTTCCAAGTCAAGAACTTTAATTCATAACTTACTACACATTATTCCACTGTCTCGTGCAATAGCTCCAAGAAGTAGATGGAAGAATTCTCTTCTTGGGCCACCTTGATCTACGGCATCTTCCTCCTCTTCAAATGTAGCAAATGATACTTTCAAAATGCCAGCAGAACTAAGGAAGCCTTTCCTTCTAAAATATGGTAGCAGTTCGCCATATGCTTAATCGGCTAACAACAATGTTTCGAGGGTCTCCTTGAATTTTGTTTGCTGCATGCTCTTTAACTGCATTCAAGAAACCATCACTTGTGAGAATTTCAGGGTCAGTGATAGCATCACCAACTGCATCTTCCACATCGACATGCATAGACAAGCTATTACGTATGGCCTGTTGCACAGCAGCATTCTCATCAACTCCAACTGGTCTAATAACAAAAGATTTCATAGATTTAATACAACCAACAGTGATTGCTTTATACACAATAAAGTAGTAAAACTTAGTCATATTACATGTTACACTTACAAAAGTCCGTCAAAGCATAGGATGTTGCAGCAGCTTCCCAGACCCATTTCCACTGGATTCTGGAGATACTGCCAAATTTCCATTACAATTTTCTGGCACTTCTTCTTGTAATTCACTATTGAGGTCCAAATCGTCGTTTTCGGTAAGTAGATCAGTGATGAGTACATCATTCGCTCTCACTTTCTGTTTTGGTGCTACAGGGCAAAGGTACAAACTTATTCTTGAGTACGCTTTCCCAAGTTCTTCTTTGTACTTGCCCATCACGAATTCTTCGTCCCCACCAGGAATTGTTCGTGCCAATTGACCATCTGGGTAAACAAGTACGTAACCTCTATCAGGGCAAAATGTTCTATCATAGTTAGCCCATTTGGTCAAAGATCTTTTAAGAACTTGATCATACACCATGTCCGGTGTCACCTTCACAGGAAATGTTTTACCAAAAACCCGTCTTGGCGTATATGAATCATCGTGGTCGTATTCCATTAAACCTACTGTTATAAAAACATCAGTATTTTTCGTGATGTTGCAGAGCGTGACTTTTTCCTCTTGGGCTCAAAATGCGACCGTCGTTCAGCCTCCTTGTTCTTCATGAAAGTAGACAAACTTGTACAAGATGAAGACGTGTTCGACGAAGTGGGGGAGTTCCCAGTCGAGTGAGTCACACAAGGTGATTTAACAGAGCTGCTTGAAGGCTCAGAGGTCCCATTGGATTTTTTCTTTCCGCAATTCGGGCAAAAGAAAAACGACGTCTCCATTCCATGTCCACAAAAGCAGCAAAACATTACAAACCAACGCAGATATTTTCGAAAGAAATCTAATATACACTGTCCCACTCTATTAAATATTCGACATATTGCCGCCCACAGTACAGTGCAAAATTCTGGGTTGCGGTAACTTTGTTTTTGCATTGCGATCAAATTTGTTTTTGCATTGCGATCAAATTTGTTTTGCATTGCTATCAAATTTGTTTTGCATTGCGATCAAATTTGTTTTTGCATTGCGATCAAATTTGTTTTTGCATTGCGATCAAATTTGTTTTGCATTGTTCGTGTTTTGCATCGCAAACAAAATCATTTTGCATTCAGCACATTATTTTTGTATCAAATATATTGTTTTTGAATTTAAGGGAATGTTTGTGCATGGACAAATTAATTTGTGAATTGCAGATACGGGCCACCGTACTTATTTATTGACGGCAAAGGTAAGTGTTGTGTGGACTACATGAATGCTTTAGCTCATCGTGTATGCTACACATATTCATATGAAATGAACACTGAAATAAATACGACAATGTACATAAAATGATTATGAAATATATTAGTTTATACAGACGGTTTTCCAAGTAAATATACCCGTCTACTTGGTTTTCGTGATCAAGTTTATATTATCCGTGTATGAGTGGACGGGTATTCTGCCATCGCTCCTATTTTATTTCCTTCAAGGCAAGAGCAAGAATCATGAACAAAATCCTTAAAGCTCTGTTCGTCTTTGGACTTATAACTACAACGTATATCAATGCTTCGGTGAAATTTATACATCACAATTATGAAGAAATGACAAAAGTCTTGAAAAACTATTCCAAATCTTGTGCGAACATCTCAAGACTTCACAGCATAGGAAGATCGGTAGAAGGTCGGGAACTTTGGGTTTTTGAAATTTCTGATAATCCTGGAAAACACGAGTTGACAGAACCAGAATTCAAATACGTTGGTAACATGCATGGTAACGAGGTTGTTGGTAGAGAATTATTACTACATCTCATTGCATTGTTATGTGATAATTACGGAATAGATCCAATGTTAACCAAGCTAGTTAATAGTACACGAATGCATATACTGCCATCCATGAATCCGGATGGTTATGAAATGTCTTACGAAGGTGATTGCACGGGTATCACTGGTAGAAGAAATGCAGATAATATTGATTTAAACAGGTTTGTGGTGAAATCTTATGTAATAACAGCATGCCAACGAACACATCCCAAATGAATTTACATGTATTAACATTGAAAATAGCTAGCCAGCGGAGTATCCCTCTACCACAATGGCTAGCCAGCGGAGTATCCCTCTACCACAATAGCTAGCCAGCGGAGTATCCCTCTACCACAATGGCTAGCCAGCGGAGCATCCATCTACCACAATGGCTACAGCAATGATACTATGATCTCAATATTCCATGAAAGAAGCTAATTATATTTGGTTTACGTATTTAGAAACTTCCCAGATCGCTACCGAAAGACGAAGGACCCACCGGAAACTGAGACAAAGTTACTCATGAAATGGATTCGATCCAATCCATTCGTACTATCAGCGAACCTTCACGGAGGATCAGTGGTAGCTAATTATCCTCTTGATGACTATCCTCCTTATTCACGTGACAGTAGCACACCTGATAATGACGTCTTTAAAGAAATTGCGTTGACTTACTCCATGAACCACGCCACAATGCATCTCGGGCGTCCCTGCGCTGGTTACCCGGATGAAAAGTTTAAGCTTGGTAAGTGTTGCTGCTACTTATGGTATGTCCAATTTGGTGAAACGTGAATAAATCTCTCGATTTTGATAATTATTGGTTGCAATATTGATAAAATAATTCCTGAAACTATTGGCACAATTATTGATAAAACTATTGACAAAATTAGTGATTAAATTACAGATAGAACTTTTGATAAAATTAGTGATTAAACCATTTTAACATTATTGATTAAACTTTGGGATAATTTGTGAAGACGCTTCAGGTTATTATCATAGCATTAATTCTAAATGAGCTTTTTCGAAAGATGCCCCAGGTTGAGAGATGTAACTTGAACGTTAATCGTGGTGATGTATTTTTATATATTCAGTTGTGACCAATTGATTTCTCTTGAAAGTGAAATGGGTTGCAAAAGAATCAGTTCGTCACAACTGAACATAAGAATACACGTCCCCCAATTAACAATCTAGCACCACCTCTGCCCAGGCTCACGGTCCGAAAGTCTTAGAAAACTATTCTGTCGAGTTTCAACCATCCCAAACTCACAGAGTTCAATCTTTTTAAAGTGTTAACTAAAAACCATTCGTCAATACGATGCTAATTCTTGTGATCATCAGGTATCACGAATGGCGCACAATGGTATAGTGTTGAAGGAGGAATGCAGGACTACAACTACTTTAACAGTAACTGTTTTGAAATCACGCTGGAGTTGAGTTGCTGTAAGTTCCCATACGCCAGAGAGCTCGAAAAATACTGGATGGACAACAAGAAAGCTTTACTAGCGTTAATAAATAAGGTATGAAACACGTGTAAAAATAATTATTCATTGGGATGTCAACAATTTCTGATTTTCAAAAGGCATCGCTTTTAACCGATAGCATTTCGAGAGCTTTAGTCAGAAAATTTACACTTATACGTTCGAGTTTGCATTTAGGTACATTCGGGAATATATGGTACAGTAAGGGACCTCAACGGTAATCTGATTAAAGGCGCATTAATAGAAGTCAAAGACGGACGTAAGATAATAAAAGTAACTGACCACGGTGATTACTGGCGTTTGTTAAATCCAGGAACTTACAAGGTTGAAGCGTCGCTCCCTGGGGGTCGTGGGAAAGTTTCAAAAAGCGTTAAGGTCGGTGCAAAGTCTTCTAGCAGAGTGGATTTTGTACTCGAGTTACAGAGGGTGACAAAATATACAGTACTCGGACAGAATCAATTTCATAAATCAACATCGCAACCATCAGTTGTCGCCATTGTATTTTTATCTGTAGCAGGAGTGTTACTGGTTGTTATTGTGATTATGGTGTTGTACTATCATAAGTCACGTCACAACTATAACTACTCAAAAATGGATTTTCCTGAATCGTGTGGACTGAACACTCATCTTTCTTCTAACATAACTAAAATAGATCTGACAGAGAGAAACGATACATGATATTTTTCAAATGAAAAATATGATGTATCGTGAGAGTTGTATAATGTAAACAGTTAGATGTAATAAAGTTATTGTATTCTTGAATGTAACAAAAACTATCATTTTGCATTACTTTTTGAGAGAACAAGTTCAAGGAAAAATTTGTTACCCCAACAATGACTGTAGATTAACAACTTTGATTCCAAAAAAAACTCGATAAGATTTCCAAAAACAGTTATATAGAGAGAGCAACAAGAGCAAAGCAATCCAGCTTAGTTAACACGACAGATGTTTCACGAAACACTTTGATCTCACATTTTTCATAAGCAGAAAAAAATGGTTATGCGAGAATATCAATGGTTGACACTTCGAAAACAAGGAAAAACGATTTCAAAAGAACTTTTTAACAATCGCTATGTTTAGAATAGTATCCTGCAAGGAATTCTTTGAGCCTCGACTTTTTTTAGTATTTCTAAACCTTCTAAAGTTTTTGATTGTTTTACTTTAACACTCTATCATGTTTTCCTTTCTAAGCTGTGTATTTATCCAAAGTTTCAAACCACTGTAGACAGACTTCCGTTTTCTTGAAGAATCGATCGTCAAACACGGAAAGAAATTTGACTCCCTGTAGTTTCAGACTTCCTCCTCACTAATTCGCATATAAACCAATGATAGGAAACCCCAATGAAATATTACGTTAAGTATTGATTTAATGATGGCGTTGTCGCTGCTTAAGCCGTGTCTTCTTGTGTTTTTTGTTTTTGCGTTAAGTGATGCTTGGTTAGTATCTCGAAAATGCGCCAGGAAGCGCAATTGTGTTTCATGTACAAAAACAAAAAGTTGGTCAGGTAAATCGTGTCGCTGGTGTCCTACAAACAAAAAATGCCATGCATACGGAGCGGTTTTTACCAATCCATGTTCAAGAAAGAATTCCAATATCTGTGACGCAAATACCAGGGTGGAGACAAACTACGCTGTTGATTGGCTAAAATAGGATAAGAGAAGATGTTCGAATTACATTCAAACAATCCCAGCATATTTCATATGAACGAATAAATGTTCTTCAAAAATAAATAGCAGATATTGAGAAATATTCTTTTCCATAAACTTCAAAAAATGCTTATTTTTTAAAGGAGACAAATTACGACAAAATCCTCACAAATTTGTTGAATATTTTTGCACCATTGTTAGTTTTTATTTTTGATTCTTGGAGTGTTATAAATTTTATCCGGTGTGTGGTGTGTGTTTAATTAACTGAACTCGAACGTAATACATTTGCTAGGGTCAACAAGGGATCTGACATATGGAGACAACGAGTTCTGTGGTCCAAAGCCAACACTTATATCCATAGATCATCCCTCGTATCGCCATATTCCTTATTATGTGACACTGTACAGATGTGGTGGCTCCGTTAATTACCAATCTCCTAGCTTCAAGATCTGTGCAGCTAGTAAAATCTGTGACGTTAGCATTCAGCTGCGGAACCTGGACACAGACCAACGTAAAACTATCGTTGAAAAAAACCATACTTCATGTGCACCTCAGTGCGCAAACAATAAAAGCATGTGCAATCTGGTTTTGGAAGAATGGAATTCGAGGGAATGCACGTGCGATTGCAAGTTTCCGAATGGTCCGCCCGAACCATGTCCAACTCGATTTAAGTAAGTTTTAATAATTGGGATTTGTGGATTGAGGGAATTCACCAATTAAGTGCAATTTGTCTTGTCTCTAAATTCGATCATGTTTTTAATCAAGTCATGTAATTTCTTGTGCATTTCGAAGAATAAATTGTTTTGATGTTATAGATGGAGCCCTTCCACTTGCAAATGTCAATGCAATAATGAAGAGAGTCAGGCATTTCGATGCAGCGAAGAAGGAAAGGTAAGTTTTGAACAAAGCAGACTGAAGTACCACCCATAACCATACACAATAAACACCTTGATGATCTTCAAGATTTTAGTTTCATGCATAAATGAATTGGCAGTGATTCCCGTGATTTTGTTGATGTTGTTGTTTTGTGAAAATCGTGTTTAGTCGTGGAGTGCTGAAAATGTGCTTGCGAATGCTCACCACGCACCATTCAAAGATGTTTACGGACAGGTAGAGAGATTGATGAAACTACATGTCGCTGTAAAGCAAGAAATCCTGTGTCTGGTTTCCAAAAAGCACGAGGTATTAAACTATAATTAGGATGTAGTTGTTTAGTGCCCAAAAACCACGAGGTACAAAATCATGTTTATCATTTGTATTTGCATGTGATGTCAGGGACCAAGTTCGTAGATTACTTCGAAGTGTCGATGCTCAACAGTGCATGTAATCTCCAAAAAATATTTTTACTATGTGGATTTTGTACTGTACAATTATTAGGCTTAAGGAGGAGGGGGATATTCATACATGTATGATATGTCATATTAAATTCTTTGAAATCCATTGTTTTTCACTGATTATAAAATAAATACCCCCCCCCCATTTTCGTTCTGACTACGTGACTGTCACTTAACAATAATGGAGTCTCACATGAGCACATCTCATGTACTTTCTCGTTTTGTATATCGCTACAGGTAAAGAGAAAGGAATCTCAAAGATTGTATTTGTCTTGGCATTACTTGGGAATTGTTGTTGCTAGTTTTATATTCGTTTGTCTATTATGGAAATTTGATTTTTTGTCTCAAATACGAAATTCCATTTGTAAATCAGATAAAAGAGGTAAGAAAGATTATATTCTCTTGACTCTTGACGTAAAATAATGAGAATGAAAGTTTTTTCCAAGAACGCATTCTGGTCTTGAAAACGTCACGTGTCTTTATTTTATCTGTAGGCGAATACACCGTCGACACGTTGCCGAAAGGCGTACAAGCAGAGGACCGTGTATAGAAATAGTCTAGAAACGGGATACATTATCTCACATAAAGTACTATTTATTTAATTATGAAATATTTATGTGATATAGGCAAAATAAGAGAATAGCTGTTGTGCTTTGACAACAAGATGTAACGAGTCAAACGCGAAAATTGTAGTTAACTCAAAACCTTATTTGTGACTTATGCCTCTTCGCAGGCACGAAGTTAGGGGTTGTCCATTTATTTACGTGTGCAAAAAAGGGTGGGAGGGTGGTACAGAAGAAAGTGTTGAGGGTTGCTGAGCTGTTGTTTCGTACGATGACATTTTGGAATCTAATTTTTCCCGAGCCCACAAATTATTTGTACATAGATTATTCATGTCAATTGTTTTTTTTTTACCTAAACTAGCTAAAATAACAGCAATCAATAAACTCAGCCTCAATGGAACATTGTTTTCTTATAAAACAAGATGTGTAAATTTGATATAGCGAAGTACATTTGGGTATGAAATGGAAAGGGGGAGGGGGGGGGATAACAAAAACATGTACGTTAGAGTATGAAGGAGAAGGGGGGGTAGCAAAAACATGTACGTTAGAGTAGAATGTGGAGAGTGGGTGTTGAAATTCGACGAATACCCATAACTAACAAAGAGTCTTGTCCTTCATAAATAATTCTTCTAGCAATACTCCTGAGTTCAAACAAATCATTCGCATTCTTTCCAACACTGACTGACGAAGAAGCCTCGGATTAGAGTAGACAAGAGGATTTAGATTCGGTTGTGTTAGGTTATTAGACAAATTTATAAACTACGAAGTTCTATCAAAAGTTCTTTAGACGTACAAGTTTCATGTCGCAGACGTTAAATACTTCTCATTATTTTATCATTATGTTTATTGAATTCAATTCCACAATGATTACCTTTGAAGTTGAAGAAACCATCTGTATTTTATCTGGCACTTTGTTGTATGATAAAATTTACGCTCAACTCGCCCACATACAATGATGAAATACATGTATTATTTATGTTTTCATATTATAGAATATGCTAATACAAACCAGATGTTTTCAATAATTTGCAGTTATCTTGTCGATGCTTCGAACGAAAGATTTGTACTGTAAAAAGGGCAAATTATAACATATCGCGCGAGCTAGGAAACTGTACTCGAAGGCAATCAATTGTTTCTCGGTTTGTATGAATAAATATTTAATTTCCATAAGAGATTGAACCTTTTGTGCACGGAAGTATCGAAAATCCACCGTTTGAAAGTGTGATAAGTGTGAAGACTCTAACATGGAAGATTTGACTTGCTTAAAATCTGCTCGGTTTGGTGTACGTGTTATTTGATCAAATCAACTTTGAAATTTGATAAGCTCGTGAATGATGACGATGCATCGCTGATTTATAATATTACACATTCATAATATTGCTTTTGAGTTGCTTCAAAATACAAATTCATTTCGTTTGTCAAGTAAACGTTTATTTTTTACAATTAGTTTTGTGAAACAGTCACTGTAATGGACGATACATAATCTTTATGACTGGTCGACATTAGAGGGAATTAAACAATATTAAAATCGTCTCTGAGTGCTTATTTATTGACGGCAAAGGTAAGTGTTGTGTGGACTAGATGAATGCTTTAGCTCATCGTGTATGCTACACATATTCATATGAAATGAACACTGAAATAAATACGACAATGTACATAAAATGATTATGAAATATATTAGTTTATACAGACGGTTTTCCAAGTAAATATACCCGTCTACTTGGTTTTCGTGATCAAGTTTATATTATCCGTGTATGAGTGGACGGGTATTCTGCCATCGCTCCTATTTTATTTCCTTCAAGGCAAGAGCAAGAATCATGAACAAAATCCTTAAAGCTCTGTTCGTCTTTGGACTTATAACTACAACGTATATCAATGCTTCGGTGAAATTTATACATCACAATTATGAAGAAATGACAAAAGTCTTGAAAAACTATTCCAAATCTTGTGCGAACATCTCAAGACTTCACAGCATAGGAAGATCGGTAGAAGGTCGGGAACTTTGGGTTTTTGAAATTTCTGATAATCCTGGAAAACACGAGTTGACAGAACCAGAATTCAAATACGTTGGTAACATGCATGGTAACGAGGTTGTTGGTAGAGAATTATTACTACATCTCATTGCATTGTTATGTGATAATTACGGAATAGATCCAATGTTAACCAAGCTAGTTAATAGTACACGAATGCATATACTGCCATCCATGAATCCGGATGGTTATGAAATGTCTTACGAAGGTGATTGCACGGGTATCACTGGTAGAAGAAATGCAGATAATATTGATTTAAACAGGTTTGTGGTGAAATCTTATGTAATAACAGCATGCCAACGAACACATCCCAAATGAATTTACATGTATTAACATTGAAAATAGCTAGCCAGCGGAGTATCCCTCTACCACAATGGCTAGCCAGCGGAGTATCCCTCTACCACAATGGCTACAGCAATGATACTATGATCTCAATATTCCATGAAAGAAGCTAATTATTTTTGGCTTACGTATTTAGAAACTTCCCAGATCACTACCGAAAGACGAAGGACCCACCGGAAACTGAGACAAAGTTACTCATGAAATGGATTCGATCCAATCCATTCGTACTATCAGCGAACCTTCACGGAGGATCAGTGGTAGCTAATTATCCTCTTGATGACTATCCTCTTAAGTCACATGACAGTAGCACACCTGATAATGATGTCTTTAAGGAAATTGCGTTGACTTACTCCATGAACCACGCCACAATGCATTTCGGGCGGCCTTGCGCTGGTTACCCGGATGAAAAATTTAAGCTTGGTAAGTGTTGCTGCTACTAATGGTTTGTCCAATTTGGTAAAACGGGAATAAATCTTTCGATTTTAATAATTATGGGTTACAATTTTGATAAAATAACACATGAAACTATTGGCACAATTATTGATAAAATTATTGATTAAGAATTAGTGATTAAACATTGTGACATTATTGATTAAATTAAGGGGTAATTTGTGAAGACGCTTCTGGTTATTATCATAGCATCAATTTAAAATGAGCTTTTTCGAAAGATGTCCCAGGTTGAGAGATGTAACTAGAACGTTAATCGTGGTGATGTATTTTTATATATTCAGTTGTGACCAACTGATTTCTCTTGAAAGTGAAATGGGTTGCAAAAGAATCACTTGGTCACAACTGAACATAAGAATACACGTCCCCCAATTAACAATCTAGCACCGCCTATGCCCAGGTTCACGGTCCGAAAGTCTTAGAAAACTATTCTGTCGAGTTTCAACCATCCCAAACTCACAGATTTCAATATTTTTAAAGAGTGTTAACTAAAAACCATTCGTCAATACGATGCTAATTCTTGTGATCATCAGGTATCACGAATGGCGCACAATGGTACAGTGTTGAAGGAGGAATGCAGGACTACAACTACTTTAACAGTAACTGTTTTGAAATCACGCTGGAGTTGAGTTGTTGTAAGTTCCCATACGCCAGAGAGCTCGAAAAATACTGGATGGACAACAAGAAAGCTTTACTAGCGTTAATAAATAAGGTATGAAACACGTGTAAAAATAATTATTCATTGGGATGTCAACAATTTCTGATTTTCAAAAGGCATCGCTTTTAACCGATAGCATTTCGAGAGCTTTAGTCAGAAAATTTACACTTATACGTTCGAGTTTGCATTTAGGTACATTCGGGAATATATGGTACAGTAAGGGACCTCAACGGTAATCTGATTAAAGGCGCATTAATAGAAGTCAAAGACGGACGTAAGATAATAAAAGTAACTGACCACGGTGATTACTGGCGTTTGTTAAATCCAGGAACTTACAAGGTTGAAGCGTCGCTCCCTGGGGGTCGTGGGAAAGTTTCAAAAAGCGTTAAGGTCGGTGCGAAGTATGCTAGCAGAGTGGATTTTGTACTCGAGTTACAGAGGGTGACAAAATATACAGTACTCGGACAGAATCAATTTCATAAATCAACATCGCAACCATCAGTTGTCGCCATTGTATTGTTATCTGTAGCAGGAGTGTTACTGGTTGTTATTGTGATTATGGTGTTGTACTATCATAAGTCACGTCACAACTATAACTACTCAAAAATGGAATTTTCCTGAATCGTGTGGACTGAACACTCATCTTTCTTCTAACATAACTAAAATAGATCTGACAGAGAGAAACGATACATGATATTTTTCAAATGAAAAATATGATGTATCGTGAGAGTTGTATAATGTAAACAGTTAGATGTAATAAAGTTATTGTATTCATGAATGTAAAAAAAACAATCATTTGGCACTACTTTTTGAGAGAACAAATTCAAGGAAAAATTTGTTACCCCAACAATGACTGTAGATTAACAACTTTGATTCCAAAAAAAAACTCAATAAGATTTCCAAACACAGTTATATATAGAGAGAGCAACAAGAGCAAAGCAATCCAGCTTAGTTAACACGACAGATGTTTCACGAAACACTTTGATCTCACATTTTTCATAAGCAGAAAAAAATGGTTATGCGATAATATCAAAGGTTGACACTTCGAAAACAAGGAACAACGATTTCAAAAGAGCTTTTTAACAATCGCTATATTTAGAATAGTATCCTGCAAGGAATTCTTTGAGCCTCGACTCTTTTCTGTATTTCTAAACTTTATAAAGTTTTTGATTGTTTTACTTTAACACTCTATCACGTTTTCCTTTCTAAGCTGTGTATTTATCCAAAGTTTCAAACCACTGTAGACAGACTTCCGTTTTCTTGATGTATTGATCGTCAACCACGGAAAGAAATTTGACTCCCTGAGCTGAGACGCGTTTCAGACTTCCTCCTCACTAATTCGCATATAAACCAATGATAGGAAACCCTAATGAAATATTGATTTAATGATGGCGTTGTCGCTGCTTAAGCCGTGTCTTCTTGTGTTTTTTGTTTTTGCGTTAAGCGATGCTTGGTTAGTACCTCAAAAATGCGCCAGGAAGCGCAATTGTGTTTCATGTACAAAAACAAAAAGTTGGTCAGGTAAATCGTGTCGCTGGTGTCCTACAGACAAAAAATGCCATGCACACGGAGCGGTTTTTACCAATCCTTGTTCAAGAACACAAAACATCGACATTCCAAGTGGTTGCGCTTCAATTGTTAATGTAAATTACGATAAATCTCTTGCCTATAAAATGGTTTATCTTTGTGCCTTGGCTTATGCGGACAGTGTCTCCAAATATATACCAAAAGCAACTCAGGTAGGGTGTGAAAGAACGACAACGCAAATGATTTCATTGTGCCACTTATCAAGCATCTTGATTCAGATTTCACATTTTTTACAAAACAACGTGTATTTACAAAGCCAACTTTTAAATGGTGTAACTTAACAATACTGTATGAAACTGTGGCGTGCCAAATTCACTTGTTTTTGCATGCAAAGTTTGAAACTGGTTTTATTTAACCTTGTGAAAACGAAAACTAGTCCATGATATTTTTATAAAACTGATAATTCTAAGACACCTCCACCTCTAGCATTCATGAACAATGATATCGAAATATTATTGTGAAATAAAAGACCATGTTTGACAATTCTCACGTTTTACTAAGTACACCGTTTACCTACATTAATCCTAAAAGTAAGATGACTCCAGGAAGTAAGTAACTTTATAACAGCATATACCTGTTTACCTACGTCAATCCTAAAAGTAAGATGACTCCAGGAAGTAACTTTATAACTGCATAATACCTGTTTACCTACGTCAATCCTAAAAGTAAGATGACTCCAGGAAGTAAGGAACTTTATAACTGCATAATACCTGTTTACCTACATTAATCCTAAAAGTAAGATGACTCCAGGAAGTATGTAACCATACACTGCCGTAGTCCTGTAAATCTAGATACTTGTTGACGTAGGTTGATTCTAAAGGTTAGACAACACCACTAAACATAATTACAGCAAAAAGCTACTTAAAGGTTCGAAGGCCAAAAATTTGTATATCTTAATCCAAATATATATATGTAGTCTGGGCATTTAAGTGAAATCATTAACATTGGCATTGATGATAAGTGTAATATTATTTGTCCATTTTCTGTGTAAGAACATTTTAATGCCAAATCGAGACAAGTGTTTTGAATTTATTACTCATGGAGCAAAGTATCAGCGTTAATTTAAGTATAATATGGTACGCACACCATTTGCACTCACATCTATGTATACTAGTGTTTTCGATCAAGCTAACATTATAATTCGAAGATGGCACAGGTGGGGGAGAGGCAGGTAGGAGCACTCTGTGCAGCGTCTATTATAATAACAGTACTAAAGAACACATAACTAGAAACTCACACATCCACAAATACCTATCAAAAAATTCTAACTGCAAATACAAGTACACGCTTATGTTTCACCATCTTAGACACCACCAACACTCAATTTACTCCCAAACTTAAAGAAGCTCTTCACTCTCGCAAACAAACCAAATTTCAACAAACAAATTCAACATTCAACACCATATTCCAATTAAAACTATTCTAATTTATCTCTATCACACTCACTTAATTACCATGTTAATATAACTAATATTTTATCAAACGTTATCCCTTTATTAATCAAGACGTATCTTATATCCTATTATAAATTCCGCATTGTAAATACTTAACCTCACTCTGAAGGTCGAAACATGTTTATCATAAAAAATTTTGTCGTCTATTTTAAATGTTTAATAGACTTTTTAATAAAAAAGCTTTTTGTGGTACAAGACATTTAAATTAAAGCACCATGCCATCATAAAAACTTCAATTTTTGAAGGTGAGAAGCTTTCGCCTTGTAAGACAGGTGACAAAACCATGTCAAGGGAATGCAAAATGTTCGGGATTTGTAGCGGTGTCACATACTGAGCGAGCGATAGCAGTGGCATTTCGTGGATCAGAACATTTACAGCAAGTTATCATACAAGCGCTGAAAATTCTCACAACTCCTAAGATATCATTTCCAGCTGGAGGCAAAGTGCAAAAGTATTTTAACGACGTGTATAATTTGATATGGTCTCAACTGAAAAGTGATGTTTATGCTCAAATAACAAAGTAAGTGCAATGAAATACTTCGTAGTGATAGTCATAATATACTTTACTGAACTTAACTGTTGAACTTTGCATACTCTCAATGAAACTCTGGGCGCTTATTTGATGTGCGTGTGTGTGGTGGTGGTGGGAGGGGGAGGGGGTTAGTGTTGTTCTGACAACCCTCTTTTGAGAAATTTGTTTAAGAAGTCGGCCCAAGACCTGATAAAGTCGGTCTAGCAAAAATTCAATAAAATAAAGGCACTAGAAAAAAAGCCAGTCTCAGAACTTAGAACACTCTCCGTCCACACACAGATAAAGTCGTTCAAGGCACATCAGGTTTTCGTTAAACCTCATCGTACTTAATTGCATTAACAGAAAGGTGTAAATCAATTTTGTTCGAGAAACGGATGATTTTAACAAGCTATTTTATTACTCCATATCTTTTGCAGATATCCTAACTATAAGGTGTGGGTGACTGGTCATAGCTTGGGTGGAGCAATAGCGTCTTTAGCAAGTACTGCTTTAAGTTCTGAAGGCTATACGTCTAAAAGTAATCTTTACATGTACACATTCGGTCAGCCACGTGTTGGAAACTACAAGTATGCATTAGCACATGATAAGTTCGTTCCAATCAGTTTTCGTGTGACACATTATCGTGATCCAGTGGTTCATCTACCTACCTGTAAAAAGATTTTGGGAGTCTGTAACGCGCTCACAGGAGGACCATATCATCATGGCAGAGAGATTTACTATGGAAGTGAGAAGATGACTCAAACCTCGTCTTATAAGACATGTACTGGGTTGCCTAACAATGAAGATGTTACATGCAGTAACAATCCTGCGGTTTGGGGAAAATGCATTCTCCAATTGCCTAAATGCATTGATGATCACAAGAAATACTTCGATATCACCGTCGGTGGTTGGTGGAAATCTTAATTCGAAAATTTTTTTCTAACATTAAATTACAAGAAGAAATAGCGAACTAACTCGTAGTTTGGAGCCCAACATGTAAGGATTTTTAATAAAATGAAAAAAATTCACATTGTTTGGTGATTTTCAGCGCTGAACTACGAATACGACTGATCCAGGATTCATCATTTGCGCGCGAATCACGTGATATTTTGCGGCAACGTAAGAATTTCGGTGCTATAATTTAGAATCTAGAAAGCTGTTCTCCTCCGCCAAATTCTCGAGCCTCTCAACCTTTGTTTTTACCAAACTGTTGTTTTTATCAAAATTTTCAAACAACTGCGCATGACAATATCCAGACCTGATCAAGACTTCCGTTTTCTCCCTTAACCACGTGAAGAAATTCGACTACCTGACTGAGCTGAGAAGCATTACTTCCTCCAAGCCAACTTGCATATAAACTCATATGTAAAGTTAACTAAAGTCTCTTTAATTTAAGGATTGATTTCAGGATGGCGCTATCCATGTTTAAGCCGTGTCTTCTTTTGATTTTCATTATTGCGTTGAGCGATGCTTGGTTAAATTTCAAGGGGCCAGATTGCGATGAGATGGACGACTGTGATTCATGTACAAAAACAAAAAGTTGGTCAGGTAAATCGTGTCGCTGGTGTCCTACAGACAAAAAATGCCATGCACACGGAGCGGTTTTTACCAATCCTTGTTCAAGAACACAAAACATCGACATTCCAAGTGGTTGCGCTTCAATTGTTAATGTAAATTACGATAAATCTCTTGCCTATAAAATGGTTTATCTTTGTTCTTTGGCTTATGCGGACAGTGTCTCCAAATATATACCAAAAGCAACTCAGGTAGGGTGTGAAAGAACGACAACGCAAATGATTTTATTGTGTCACTTATCAAGCATCTCGATTCAGATTTTACATTCACACTTGGCAATGACATCGATTTAGTTTATTGACATTGTTGCAGCTTTCTTCAATTTGAAATTGAAAATGCGTTTCTTTTTACAGTTTCATTGTTTATAAAAAAGCGAATACAAATTTTACGCGCTGTAACTAAACAATATTTTTTGAATTTGAGAAATTCTAGGACTTTTGTAAACGTAGGTACAAGAACTTTCAAATGTTAAGTCTTTTGTTGCAGTTAGTGTAAAAAACGAGCGAACACGGCTCGGAATATGGTGAGTCAAACTTAAATACTTCCTAATTTTACCACTAAAAGCCTTTGCCACAAAGAAAAATGCAAATTTTCATCAAACGTTGCGGTCAATGAACATGTTATTTACATTATGTAAATCATAAACTTCATAATTTTTTACAAAGAACGCTGTAAGTTAACCCATTCTCATTTTCTTAATGGTACAACTATTAAATGAAAATATGATCTTCGCAATTTGCTGGACAATTTAAGCAATTGTCTCATGAACCTGAAAAATTCAGGTGACTCAACGGGATTCGAACCCATGACCTCTGTATATATTGTATATATTCATTAAATCCCCTGAAGAGTGAGCAATCACGAATCTGTAGTGATGGATGAATCTGTAGTTTTGTGATTTTTCTCAACACCACTACACATATTGTATATATCTCTATATATTCGAACCCATGACCTTGGTATAACTATTGCAATAATACTTTCGCCAGTGTGTTTCTTAGATTTCTTATTAACTGTTGTAAAGCTCCACTTGGATTTAATTTTCATAGCTTACTGTTCCAGTCTCCGTGGTGTAAATGTGCAATTTTAACCAGCCATTTTTATTGGAGCCGTGTTCACTCGTTTTTGCAGTATCTGCAACAAAAAACCTTAACATTCGAAAGGTCTTACGCAACGTTTACTAAAGTCGAAGAATTTCTTCAATTCCTGGAATGTTATTCATTTTACAGCACGTAAAAGCTGGACTCACTTTTTTACCTACAGTGTAGTTACTAACGGTTGTTTAGTACGCTTGTAGTTTTCTGGAATATTTGCATGTTTATGCATGCAAATTTCTTATTTTTTTAGTTTTCGTAGATTAAATTTGTTCTTGTTCAAACTTGTGAAAGCGAAAACTATTTAACATCAGATTCTTCACCAATGACATTTTTGTTAAAACTGTGACTATGCATGTCTATGATCTACTACATTAAAAGAAGATGACTCCATCAAATAAGCAGATAGCTACACCCATTAAACAACGACGTACTTATTCTTAAAACTAAGAGGACTCCTGATAATAATAAACCCTTCATTGCCCTAGTATAGTAAATACATTAACATGTGTACGTTAATCCTACAAGTACATTTACTCCAAAAAAAAGAAAAAATTACCATAAGTCTGACCAGAATGCTCTAAATTATTTGCCGACTTTCTGCGTAAGAAAATTTATTGCCAAATTGAGAAAAGCGTTTTGTATTTATTAGTCGTATGGCAAATTATTCGTGTTATTCTTAACAACGTAGAAAGGATAGGTGGGATAGGGGTAGATAGGAGCACTCTGTGTAGCGTCTTAATACTTCTAACAGCACTTACATACTTCAGGGATATGCTTTTTAATAAAAAAAATTTGTGAAATAGAAAAGTTAAATTAAAGCACCATGTCATCACAAACACTTCAATTTTTTAAAGGTGAAAAGCTTTCACCTTGTGAAACAGGTGACAAAACCATGTGAAGGAAATGCTAAATGTTCGGGATTTGTAGCGGTGTCAGATACTGAGCAAGCGATAGCTGTGGCCTTTCGAGGATCAGAACATTTTCAGCAAGTTATCACACAAGCGCTGAAAATTATCACAACTCCTAAGATATCATTTCCAGCTGGAGGAAAAGTCCAGAAGTATTTTAACGACGTGTATAATTTGATATGGTCTCAACTGAAAAGTGATGTTTATGCTCAAATAACAAAGTAAGTGCAATGAAATGCTTCGTAGTGATATCTTGTGTGACACCTCTCTTATGTGAAATATGTATAGAAGTTTATCCATTTTCCTTTCTATCAAACAAAAAGGCACTACAAAAGCCGATCTTAGAACTTAGAACACCATTCGTTAAATTCTTTGGAATGTGCGTCGCTATAAGACGTTCTAGGCACAGCGCAGTTTTTAAGTCATAACGCAACATGTTTCAAGTTGAATTGATAGAAAAGTGTGAATAAATTAGTTCAATAAGCGACGGGTTTTGACAAATTATCTTTTGCAGATATCCTAACTATAAGGTATGGGTGACTGGTCATAGCTTGGGTGGAGCAATGGCGTCTTTAGCAAGTACTGCTTTAATTTCTGAAGGCCATACGTCTAAAAGTAATCTTTACATGTACACATTCGGTCAGCCACGTGTTGGAAACTACGATTATGCATTAGCACATGATAAGTTCGTTCCAATCAGTTTTCGTGTGACACATTATCGTGATCCAGTGGTTCATCTACCTACATGTAAAAAGATTTTGGGAGTCTGTAACGCGTTCACAGGAGGACCATATCATCATGGCAGAGATTTACTATGGAAGTGAGAAGATGACTCAAACCTCGTCTTATAAGACATGTACTGGGTTGCCTAACAATGAAGATGTTACATGCAGTAACAATCCTGCGGTTTGGGGAAAATGCATTCTCCAATTGCCTAAATGCATTGATGATCACAAGAAATACTTTGATATCACCGTCGGTGATTGGTGGTTATCTTAGTTCAAAAACCTTTTTCCAACATTAAATAACAAGAAGAAATAGCGAAGGAGCTCGTAGTTTTAAATCTAGAATGTAAGGATTTTCAATAAAACAAATAAATGCACATTTTTGTTCATTACGCTATTCGATGAGCTGCGAAGCTTTGTTATCATTGACAACCTGTTTAATCGTGCTACTAAATTATTTTTTCACTCAATATAATAATAAATATAGACATCATACAAATCATATTTGCATAACACCTGCACGCAAACATTTGCATAACATCTGCATTGTTATACTAAATGCGCATGCTCAATAGTTGAGGTTTAATGTGCTCTTGGGTATCTGGGGTGATTTGGTTGAAAATGCAGGTCGGCATGTTTAAATTAGAAGTTTTCAGCGCCGACTACGCTGAAAGATGCAAGGTAAATGGAATTTAACTGACGTCAGCAACAACTTTTAAAGTTTGAGCTGGGCATGTGCTGCACGCCATGTTTCTGAAACAAATATATTTTTTGATACTTGGCCTAATCCACAAATTCTCAATAAACATTATTAACTTAACATGCAGACTCAGGGGCTGTTTACACGAGCTCTACGGAAAGGGCCCTCTCTGTACGGTTATTTTACCTCTCTTTTACCTGCAAACTCTAGTCTCTACATAAAGAACTCGGTTTGAACAGCGACTTTCGGCGATAAAATACAAAATAGCTAAAAACAAACAAATATAGTTGTCGTCTTGATTTTTTACGCTTTCTTAGTTTGTTTCCTCATGTTGATGTCTTTTGTTGTGGCCATTGCTGAAAAGCGATGCCTTATCGCATGCAAATGGATTGAAAAGCGTTGACATAGCGAGATCTTGGGTAAACAATCGGCTGGTAGGACTGGCCCCCCTCTAATGTAAAAGAAAAGCGAATTTATATGGAATTTTAATAGCATGCGAGATCACGCTTTGTAGGGTCAGCCTTTCTCAAGGGCTCATGTAAACTATGTCCAACTTTCTTTAATATACCCATTAACTTCAGGATACAATTTATTAATTTTATTGAATGTATCTATTAAATTTTAGTAAAAAAGCTCGTTTTTATCTCGGTCTACATAACGATGTTATGATGACATCAAGACGCCGAACTGCAAATTATGTATGGCAGATTTTCGCCGTTAAATTTTGAACAAAAAGACTTTTTATGAATCAGAAAGAAGAAACGAAGAGCAGTTATCGGGTTTTTTGCGTTAACTCTTTGGGAAACACACTTTCGAATTTATAAGCATTTTACGGTCACATTCAGCAAAGAATATATTGCGTGTCTTACTTTGTAACAGGTGTCGACAGTGAACATAAACAACACTTCATTTACATATAGCTGCTTGAGCACTTCTCGAGAATCATACAGCGTTTAGTCAACGGATGACAAAGTTGTAGCTATTATGAAAATACTGTAATTATATTGCAGGCAAAATCTGTTTGTTAACCACATCATTCGATCACGCGTATTTGGAGCGACCACTAAACTACAGAAACGCCGACGTTTCGTATAATTCATTCATAGTTTACATCAATGACGAGATAAAACAAGTTATTTTACTGAGTGCATATTGATCAATACTGTCATTTATCCATGAAAAAATGGGTCAAAAGGAAAGCACGCCATTCAAGGGAGACATAATTCGAAGTTTAGAAAGACACGAAGGACCCGTACTTCACTGTGCATTCTCTCCTGATGGTAAAGTCTTAGCTAGCTGTTCTACGGATAAAAATGTGATACTTTGGAATGTTGTGACAGGAGATATAATGTATACTCTGAAGGGACACGCAGATGATGTAACATATTGTTGTTTTTATGAAAATGTTCTTACAACGTGTTCAAAAGACAGGACGGCCGTTTTGTGGGTCTATGAACATGGAAGATGTGCCTCGCGTCTGGGTGAGAAAAACTATTGATTTATTCTGCGAATGCTTTGTTCAGTGAATTATAGGAACACAAATTTTCTAACATGATCATTTACCTACACATGCAGGTTTCATGCTGACTTTAGGATGTTTTCTTACAAGAAGTTTTTTACAAGATCGGACAAACTTGCAATGCAATATCCTAAATCTACAAAACATCGAGCTTTCTGATGTACTCACACGCACGAATGCAATGAATAAACTTGACTTTATCGTCATTCGAAATAAATAAATTAAATTTCAGAAAATCGTGTTGTATATGTAAAATAAGAAGTTGAAACCCGCTAAAGGATGTAATTTATGATTTATGAGCACTGTCACAATAGCCAATGTCAATTAAATAACAGTGGTAGTCTTCACAAGAGTTTCACAGCGCTTGTGTTGTTGAAAATTTACATACTTAATAAATTCTAACGCATAATATATTCCATTGAAGTTTGAATTTCAAGTTCTCAGGGAGACAGTTTTAAAACTATCGATGACAAATAGGTGAAAATTCAACCGTAAGATTTACAAGACGAAATCAAGATTTTTTTAAGACTTCAAAATATCGTAAAATTTTTTGACTCGACGAGGATGTTTTTTGTGTCTAACCGAATTCCGAACATATTTCTTTCTCGTTTTTATCACTTTGCTGGTTCATGTCATTGTGAGCATTTAGGCATAATTGTTTACATAGCTTGCTTTGATCTGTTCAGGCCGCTCTCCTCGGTACTTATATGCTGCAGTAACTTAAATACGGTTGTCCAAGCCTATTATATCTGGTAAAAAATCACTGAAACTTGTCACAATGACTTTAGTCAAAGGTAGAATTTCTGTCAAGTTTCGTGCCACAGTGACATCTTAGTAATTTCTTTTTCTTCATTTTAGCAATTCATTCTGCAGCTGTCAACGCATGCGCAATATCGTCATCTGGTCAGCACTTAGCAACATGCTCAGACGACAAAACAATACGAATAATAAAATTTTTACCGGGAACCGGTGCCTTTGTGGACGGATCAAAAATTACATCGCTTATCGGACATCGCGATGCCGTTAACGATGTAAAATTTTCTCCCGACGGTCATTATTTAGCGAGCGCTTCCCACGACACAACAATTAGAATATGGCAGACAGAGACTGGCGCATGTGCAATGATACTAGACGACTCTATAGGGGCTGTCAAGAAACTGTGTTACTCACCTCTAGAAGGTCACATGATGAGTATATCAGGTCCAGGAAACTTTGTGAGTGTGTGGAACACAACATCTTATGTGGTAGAGAAGGTCTTGGAAGCTGACAACGGTACAGAGATTCAGGTATATATCATGCAATAAACACGTAAATTACTACTTCTGTAATGTTGATATTTAATGCCGAGAAAAATGGTGGAATCTAAACGCAAAATTCAAAGTTTTTGCTTGTGTGTTTCATATGCGAAAAAAACAGATGACGAATTTAGTGAACTTTATTTTACAGAACATAGCTATAACACCAGACGGAATGGTAATTATTGGGCTGTCCGAAGACAACAAAATCACACTTTGGGCTACGATGACAGATAATTGTGTGCCTAAACGAAGGTTTGTAAAAATGAAATGATTTATTGAGGTTTTGAGGCACTCGTTCCGACATTCAATCAAAAAGACATGATCGCAAAACTGACGTTTTTGAAGAACTGATCAACCAGTGCAGTAAGAATATACGAGTTAAGCAAAAAAGCATTTAGAAGACTTTAATTGATTATTATATACGGATATTGTAACTGCATTTCAGAGAAATTACATCGGGATTTCCAGTGCAGTAAGAATACGAGTTAAGCAAAAAAGCATTTAGAAGACTTTAATTGATTATTATATGGCAAGCGTCACTTCCGAAAACATGGCGCGCTTTGATTGGTTCAGAAACATTTTTGCCAGTCCATTATTTTCCCGTAATCGACCATGGCCCGAAACGCGTAATTTTACTGTCAAATGCAAACAAACTTCGTAATGCAGAGCAAAACGCAAAATAAACGAAACAAAAAGCCATTTACGAATGTGATTCGAAGGAAAAACACTTGGAAAACAGTTAAACTATCCAAACGATACAATTTGAAAAGATTAATTTTTTATGGACGAAAACTAGAAAAGTGAAAGCCAACCCGCAAAAACAGCAAGGGCGAGAAAGAAGGCAAGCTTTGTTTCAGGTGAAATAATGCCATGTAATAATCTTTTTAATAACGTCGCTTTCGCGGTCTTTACTGAGAAATATCAGACCTTTGTCTTTTCTACAAACCTTGCCCTACGGGCTCGGTCTGTACAAGAAGACATCAGTCCGATATTTCTCCGAAAAGACCTCAAACTCGGTTATTAATGGCTTAGTATTGTAACTGGATTTCAGGGAAATTATATCGGGATTTCGGGGTGACTATGGTTGAATTCGAAGGAGCTAGTTGGTAGCAGAATTTTGGGCTCATACAATTATCTTTAAGTACTCGCACGCCCTATTTAATTCTCACCTTGTCTTGAAACAAAAGAAACAGTTGGGGTTACCCAGATAATATGCAAACAATGGCAGCAATTATATTAGATAATCAAAGCGAATATATAAATGACTCTGTTCAGTATAGAGTCACTCATTATTCAAAAATATGAAGACTATAGACTAAAAAACAGTCGATAAGTAAAAGAAAAACATCAAAACGCAGAAACAGCTGTCATATATACTCAATACACACTTATCATCGTATCAAATATTTAAATGTCAGTACACTTTCACGATACTTAAAATTTATCTTTATATTCGGTACCTTCTTTAAGTTACAGCATTCTTTATTAACCTCTTCTACAAAACACTTTCAAAGCCTCGGTAAAAGTACATTACTTACACGTTTGTAATTGAAAACAGCAGCGTGCTTCAGTGTCCCATCCTCGTCATTATTGAAACCCAAAATGAAGCATTCGACTGCCTGGCGTAAACTTTAATTACTGTACTCACAGATTACCAATTGCCGAATTATCAAAGTCATTGTATCTCTTAATTCTCAAGTGAAGGTAGTTATTGTTTAGCAATGCTAGAGAGCATGAACACTTCTGCTATTGTATACACAATACATATGCATAAAGAATTGTTAATGAGTTCAATAGAGTTATTAATATGAAATTCAGCAGTATTATTCTATTGAAATGCTGTCACTGTTTGCTTATTGGTGGGTTGCAACCATTCTCCTGAGAGTAAGAGAACAATGGAATGCTGGCCATGTTGGATGAAATTTGCATTGTAAATAAGGAAAATCCTTTGTTAAAAGCAAGCAACCTTGCAAACCAAGAATAGCTTTGATTACCCTACGTTTTAACTTTCCTTCACTTTTGATGAATTTGAGACATGCACTCCTATATATATAGGGAGAGAGCATGAAAAAATACTGAAAAGTGTATTGGTGAGTAATTGCAGTTATTTTTAAAAATAATTTTAGTATCGACTAGGATTTTCTGCATGCTGTTGTTAATACGACTTGATCCTTTCTTACATCGCAAAGTTAAGTTACTAAACTTATCAATATTAATGTTAAAGAATGCAAAAGTCGACCCTACCTCAGAAATGTATTTTATTTCACATACAGAACAACTCCTCACGTAAAAGGTGTTATGACAATTGCTCTGCATGACGATGGCAATGAATGGTGCATCGCAACCGCTGATAGAGATGGAGTCATTAATATTTGGAATTAAACGTTTGGAAATAAGATATTTCGTTCAAGCAACAAAATCTGAAATGAAACCATGAAACATCTAGGAGTGGAAAATAATCTCGGAAGAAGATTATGAACATGCTTAACTTTATGAAGGCCAAAAATCACTAAAGGCTGCTTTTTAGCATACACATATAGTAATTGATGTAACTCTAATATGCATGGCATAATTTGACCTTTCAAGTATAGTTTTATTTATTGCGTTGTAACGTTACATAAGTTGAAAGAAATAGGAAAAAAGTTATTAAAATATTTATTTCGAATACAACAAAAAACGAATGAAGAAAAAGTAGAAGAACAATCCAATCAATTAAAACTTACCTGTTTCAACACTGATAAGTGACTCTCAAACATTCGTCGTAACTTCAATATTTTACAAGATAGGATCTGCACATGCGCGAAGGTATTTCTACACTCTTCCTGCGTAGCCCGAGAAAGGCCTATCGCAAATGATCTTGGGGTCTGACGTGCGGAAGCTTTGTACGTATTTGCATCCCCATGTAAAATTTTGATTTATTTTGGATAGTAAATTTCTTTTTACCTTACAATATTTTCATGATTCAATCTAGAAAGGAACTTCTCTTCTCGAGCAATTTTGCGATTTAACAGAACACTTATCTGATTCAAATAAATTCTTTTGATCGCATAGAGATAGCCGTCCAATTTATTATGTACCTAAGCGTATATAAAGCATTTTCAAATCACGTACAAAATTTCCTTCACATGACCAAATTACCGTCTATTTAAAGGATGTATGTAATAAAAAGTTACCTTCACAACTGAAGCAAACCCTCCTGTAATTAACATCCCAAATGTTATGCAGCACAAATGTAACTTTGACGACAAACTGCATAGAACAACTCTTGAACACTGTTCTCGATTACTGTAAATAATCATTACGAAATGTTGATTAAATATTCTGAAGTAATTATCTATGAAATAAATTTACACAGATGATGCAAATTATTTTTTGATTTGGCGGAAGTGATGTGCCATCAGCGGAGATGATGAGTCAGCATGAGCGACGAGTTAGTAATATAAGTAATTAACAATTTAACAGTTGCACGTAGCACATGTCGTCATGGAGCAAGAAATGTCACTCAACTGTTATTGGTTAGTTTCAGTACATTTAATCGCAAATAGCAATGTACTACAAATTATGTAACAACAACGTAAAATTCAGTAAGAGTGAAAAATTCTCTGATAAATTGTCTGCAAAAAATTTCATACGTTTCCCTCCTCGCTATATGATGAAGTATAATTGTAGAAATTGGAAAACTCAAAAGCCTTCTCGTGGCTTAGCAGCTTAGCTCTAAATTTAAAACGGCTGAAGTTGAAGACGAAACGTCGACAGTAATCACCCTTACCATTACTTTCGCGATGGCCGTGTTGAAAAATCATAGCTACGTCTGTCATGCTTATTATAAAAAGCTGACGTCAGTCAGAGTTAAGTTGACTCTGAAGATGAGTACCGCTAAGGTTGTCGAAACGTCAGTCTACATCAATACCAACAGTCCTTCTCAGGACTCTACTAACCTGGACGATCTTCATCCACAAACATGTTATGATACTCCCGGGGTTCAACCATCACTTTATTACTGTTTTGTGTTAGTGACCTGTCATTTTTTTGGTGAAACTTGCCGACATTGTGAAAATATTAGCCTGTTAAGACCAATACATACGTAGAAGACACGCGATATCAATGACTATCGCACACGTGATGACAAACATTGCCTACAGCTGTGAATCGAGGAAAATATTTGGATAAATCGATTCTAAAAGAAGCGTTAAGTTATTTCTAGGCAACCGATGATGTATAAACAATTGACAAGCTTGAAATCGTCAGCTTGCAACGTACCACTTACAGGTCATAAAATTGCCGTGTTTTCCTAACTTATTTTAATTGCATTATTGCCTCCGTGGAGAATATTAATTACGTACGCACTCTCCAAAAACTCGTTTAATGTACTACTTAAATAAATACTACAGCATCAATATTGTTGCCAATGAAGTGCCAGGCAGGAAACGGATTCTCAATATAAATATTAGAGTCCAACAAATAATTTTAAACATAGTCATAAACAATTTGGTTTTATGAAATTTATTAAAAGAGTGACGTTTCGTCTTTACTCAAGACATCTAGTTAGTCTGAAGACACCTAATTAGTCAAGACACATTTTACTCAAGACACCTAATTAGTCTGAAGATGTCTTGAGTAAAGACGAAACGTCACTCTTTTAATAAATTTCATAAAACCAAATTGTTATGACTATGTTTAAAATTATTTGTTGGGCTCTAATATTATATTGAGAACTACATCAACTAATTTCGTTGATAGCGACGACTTTGTCAAATGACATCAATTTTAATTCTTGTGTTTTGATGGATATATATTTCTTTAATGCAAGACTTTTTGTCTTATTTAGATGTCCTTGAAAACATCAAATATACGTGGGTAGTATACATTATGCGCATGGCATTTGGCAAAATATCAAGGCAACTAATTAGAATGCGCATTATATACGTAATATAAAAGTTATATAACAATTGCCAGAGTAGTTAGGAAAAGTTTAAGTCAAGTGTCACATTTCCGTAACAAAGTCGAAAGAAACAGGAAAAAATTTATCAAACAATTTATTTAGAAATATAACTAATAAGAAATGAGGAAAAGTAGAAGAACAATCCAATAAGTTAAAACTTATCAATTTCACCTGTAATAAGTGACTTTATGGTTAACACACTTGATGTTTGTACATTCGATGAATTTTTCACAAGAGATTAATTTAACACATTTTATGTTAACACATTGCGTAATTCGCTGAAAATCTCTACGTGCTTGACATTAAATTTTTAAGATGTATTTTACCTACAACATCGATGAAATTAAATTGACATTAAAACTTCAAATCTAAACATTTATGCACCGAACGATATGACTGTAGTACTTTGAGAACATAGAGATGTTAGCAATAGAAAATTACTTCCTCAATCTCAAAGCAAACTAACACATTCCTTAATAACAATTTTATTCTACATCATATATTTCTTTGTTGGGTACTTTTCCGGCAAAGGGAAGCGCGCCGCCGCTTCGCCCATCACCTAAATCCGCCCCCGTCACATTACCCCTAAATTTCCATTAAAAGTAATTTAGTTTCAGGTATCATTGACTGAGGAATTACTCCAAAGTTAGTTAAAGATTTAAGTAAAATGTTTTGAACCTCGATTGTTTGCATGGAGAATTCTTCAAACTTATTGGCAAAACATCAAGCTAAATCGCTTTCATTTAACAATCACATTTTCGATATTGTGGATGAAAAATTCTAGTTTTTAGTTCACATTCACGTTACTTAGCAAAAAATAATTCGAAACTGACCACAATAGTAAAACCACAATGCGAAACCGAACTGTTATGATAAATAATTACATGCACATAAGCAACCATTTTCATTGTTTAGTTAACGTCACAATACTAACTAAAACGTGACTAAAGATAACCTCAATTAACTTGCCTAGCGCATATCATGTATGATAATGTATGATATAATGTTGTACACCAAACATATGTACTCCAAGATTTTAACATAATTATCGAATCCAATGAAAAACAGATTAGTAGCTACATCATAAAATAATGTATGATTACAACAAAACGAACCGTCTTTTAAAAACTATTTAGAGCTAATGGTCAATTTTACTTGACTTGCCACGGCATTTTCAAATGATTACAAGTTAAGAATGAAAGGGTTTTAAAATAAAATAAAGATATTTGCACAGACAGATTTCTTTATATAGACACAATGCCTTTCCCCATAGTAATAACACCAGGTACTATACTAACCACTATACCACCAAACTCTATTTAGAAAACAAAATGTAACAAATTACATGAACATACTGTGAATGAAGCTTGAGTGAATAATATATTTCTGTAATGAAAAAATCAGGTAGCCACACATGTTTTCGAAAAGATTTTATGTTTTGGACTGAATGCTTTCAAAAACATTATGAAAATTTCCGTCGAAACTGATTTGCGGTTAGCACACAAAAACACATCATCCTTATTCTGACAGCGCATTTCGGAGGCAAGGAAGAACTTTCACTCCTTTCGAACAAACTGGAAGATTCCAGGTAGCAAAAAGTAGAGCAAATAAATAGAACCGACGCTTGGAGATTCATTCATACTTAGTACTCGGCTGCACATACAAGAACAGCTGAAGACTGTCAAAAAATAGCAAACCAAAGAAAATCGAAATTATTGTGAGAAATCGTTCGCTCGCTCATATTGGAAAAAGAAAAGCAATGGGTGAGTCAGAACTACAGTTGTTGTAAAATTATCGGCAGTTTATATATTGGTAAATGTAATGATTTCTTCAGCGAATACTTTTAAAACAATAAAAATGGAGCACATGAATTTAAAATCTTACAAAAAACTGACAAAATTATCTCACAGTAGGGCGGAGCTCTGATCTCATGCAATACTGAATGATAATTAATTTGCAGTAACTCTAACATAAGCCAATATGCGTCATAAGATCTAATCAAGTTAGCTTGCTATTAATAAAAACAGTGCCGGACCGGGTACGTCAAAAAATAAATTACTGCAGCTCCTTTTACAATATATTTACAAGTTTACAAACATTTTAGATGCAAGTGCATTGGTAAACTTATATTCATTAGAAATTTCGAACCAATAGTGTTTTTGAACGTATTTTTCGAATATAAAATCGAATTGAGCTATATAACTTTATTTTGCCGAACGCTGAGTCCGCTTATGATTTAAAAACAAATTTTGTCGGCAAAAAATATTTGGAACTTCAGCATTCATAGACGTTTTCCGCCGTGCAAACAAGGATGACGTTATTACAAAAACTCTCTATACAAAGAGATATTGAAACAATGACGCAAAAAACGTCATTTGCAGTAATCAGTGCGTGACTAACAATGTACGTATTGTATAAAAATACCTATTTTACAAAGTGTTATAAAGTCTTTATTTTCAATGATTAATATTACGTACACATTTACACAATATCTCATCAGATAAGTAAATACGAAAGTATACATACACATAACAATACAAAATTTGCATCTACAGCAAAAGAGTATCTCGGGAAGATATAACGACAAATTCGTCTTGGTTTAGAGTAAAATTTGACGATTCTACTAAAATACTTGTCTGTTTAGCCCACTTGCCTTTGTGAGTACAAATTCGAGCAAAAAAAACTTTTGGCAAGATATAGCATATGACATTTAACGCGCATAGGTGTAGTTAGAGCATGAGTCAGTACAGACAATTTCGTCATCGCCTGTTTAAACGTACTTCGCATACAATTGTAATTGCTGTAATTTCATCAGCGATACCTTCCAACTGATTTGATACATTCCAACTGATTCGATACCTTCCAACTGATTTGATACATTCCAACTGATTCGATACACTCCAACTGATTTGATACATTCCAACTGATTTCATACATTTCAAATGATTTTATACATTCGGATTCCAACTGATTTTATACAATACAAATGATTTACAACACTACCTATTCATAAATAGTTGTAGTTGTTGTAATTCAGGTGATACTTACTAGTATCAAATTTGATCATTTATCGTACAAGAATTCGAAAGTAAAGATGAATTGCCATCGACCATAATCGTTCACGTGTAAATTTCTTATGTTGTAAATGTTGTAAAAGTTGGACAAGTTCAACTTCTAGAACAGCTCCCGATTTGTCTGCGATTAAATTACAACAATGACAACAATGACAACGCGCGTTTACTTATAGTTGTAATTGCTGCAAACGTTCATCACCGATCGAATTACTACAATTACAACTATATGTTAACTAGGCTTTATGGTAAAGTTGGTGCTGACAGACGAAAAACGTTTTCCTGCAGTTTCTTTTATATCATGCACTCTTTATCACACTATCTATTCACAAATTTTTATTCTTTTAGCAGCTCAAGAGATAATTGTTTAATTCTATACATGTGTTAAGAGTATCTTTGTATAAGTCAAGTTTGAATTAATATCTACGATAACATAGCTAGATTTCTATTTTCAAGTTCTTATGTATCGAATGTAGTGTGGAATGTCTGAGACTGTTACAGTAGCATTCCGATTGTTCACACGAAATCTTGGACGAAAACATTCAAAATTTAAAATATTTTACGAGTAAAGCTAAACTATCTTTTCAAAGCATTTCTATAATGCCAGAGACAAATTTAGCTCCTAATATGGTTTGAATTACTGAATGGGAATACCATAGACGCTCACGAAACACAAAGCAACCAATATTGGTCCTTATAATAACCCAGCTTGACAGCAGTCGTGGGCGAATATATTATTTTCATTGCCTGTAATATACAGGTCAATGCATATCAAAGACATGCTGCAATAAATAACTAAAATAAGCAATGATATCGAAACTTTAAAAAGGGAAAACCCATCGAATATTTATGTGTAGATCTGATTAGTTACATAGAAAACTTTATTTTAGTAAAATACAAAACTTCTTCTGACAGCAAGCGGTCAAAAGGAGACTTTTGACAGCAAGCGGTTAAAAGGAGACTACTCAGTCTATTCTTCGGCAAACGACAAAATGAATATCAAATGCTTATGAACAGACATGAAAACCAGGCCGTATGCACAAGCTTAACCACATAGTGGTAAATAATATCTTACGGTGCCCGACAGTGATTGTTTAATATTATACACGATTTATATATGAGTAAAAATATCCTGCAGTCTCAGTTTGCTTTCGGTCTCAAAAAAATCCCTTAAACTACGAAAGAGAGTTGTGCAAGAAGTTAATATTTTTAACCGCTGCATACAAACAGAAACAATCGCTTTAACAATGGAAAAATATGAAGATGTATAACCGGAATATTATTTGTGTAATAATGGCCACCGGCGTACATCGATAATATAATAACTAATTATCATATTACAAAACGATGCTAATATGTAGTATTTGATTGTATATATTGAATAAGTTGTAAATAAATCAACACTGATTAACTAACAGAGCAAGACCCAAAAGATAGCATGAAAGAATTAACGACATTGACTTACTGACGTTAACTTTTGTGTCGTGTTTATAACAGGTTAACCGCATCACGTCCTTCACAGCTATGTACGTATTTTGGTGTTTGTTCACTGTAAAAACAATATCCATTAGGAAACCAACAATGATATCGTGTTAAAAAACTTACAGAGCATGACCATGCAACTCTTGAGATGGCTAGGCTACCGCTTAACAGTTAATAGATTGTCACTGTCGTTTGCAAGAGCTCAAATGCTTTGCTTTGCTGTCTTTTGTCTTCAATTTAAGAAAATATTTTAATTATTGCTGTGATTAGCGTATTTGTCGTGGTGATTGACAATTGAGTAGTTCTTCAAAGAACAGTTGAACACCAAAATGAGGATATTACATAAAATTAAAATGACACGATGCATTTCGGCAAACTGCAGCATAATTTTATAACTATCTTCATTTCAGTTTTCTACAGTTCTTAAGAACTACTTAAATTGTCGTTCACCATGACAAATATGTTAATCACAGCAAAATTAAAGTTCGTGACCACAATAAAGTCTTTGTTTTATAAAAAATGTAATTTCCTAAAACGTCATTGGAACTCATGCAATTGCCTCAATTCAAATCTGACTTTGCAATATTGTGCAGTCACTTTAAACTCTTTCCATACAGGCTATATACACAGTAATAGATTTCTGAAATGTGATTTCCCTACAACATCATTGGAATTGAAGTGCGTCAAAGCTGACTTTGCAATAATTTGAGAGCAATGAGCTGCCTGAATTACTTATTACTTATTTCCAAAACAGACGAGTTGTTTTTTATAGTAACTAACTAATTTGCAATTCTATATAGCTATCAAATAATTTTATGTTCTCGAACAAGTCATGGAGTTCATTTTTGAACAAAGAATGCAATATTGTCAAAAATAATACATATCCAATCGTATTTAGCTGTAGTAATGAAAACAATGATATAAATGTAGCTTTAAAATTTTGTAACATGCAAATAGTTAAATGGATATATAGCCACCGTAGCACACCATAACCCATGACAAACAAAATTATCAAAATCTGCAACAAGCGCTACAATGCGTGTTTGCTCTTCCTATTTTAAAAATATAGCCACGTAAACAATTTGACACATCTTTGTTGCCCGGCTATATAAAAACAATCAAAAAGAAAAATTTACCCCGGAATTTGCCAGAAGCAAATCAACAACTACATCTCAATTAAATAGCTATGTAACTTGGCATTTCGACAATTCATTATATCTGTAAATTCTTCCCATTTCATATTACTCACAAAACATGATAAATTGATAATTCAGTAATGTTTACGTCAAAATATAATGTGCCGACGTAGGATCGTTTAATTGAGAGACATGATTAACAATGTAAATATTTACTTTTTAAGCAAGTTGAGAGGATAGGCCAGCCTGACCATAGTGCAGAATATGAGAGAATAATGAGAGAATAATTATGCTATGGGCCCACGCTTTCAGATTCTTCTTTATGATTTGAATTTTACAGTAACTTAATTAAGTGAAGCAAACAATGGTTTAAGAGTAAGAAATCTTAACATTTCAAGTGCCAGTTTATAAATTAATAACGACATAAATACTTCAATATAAAACTGGTTGATTACAGAGATTTGATGAGTCATCTTCAATGGTTCAGGGATGAATAAACATTGATTGTATAGTAAATAAACAATTAAATGAGAGTACCTACATAATGATTACATATGAATGACATTCCGTTCAAATATATTCATAGTACTTATCAAAATATAGGATGTCTTTGAAGACTAATTTCCATCTCAATTGTGGTTAAAATCTTAAATTTTTGAGGTTTATAAAACCATTCTATTGAAATTAGAGAGTATAAAAGACGTTTCAGAACTCATCATTTATAAAAGCGAAGCTAAGTTGTGATGTATAAGAGAGACAATACACCTGACATTGTACAAGATATCTTTGAGAAATCAGGTTGTAAAAGCAGAAGAAATGGGTGAGGAATGCATGTTTATTAATGATGGAGGAAATGCATAAATTTAGTCTTCAAGAAAATTATTTAATGAATTTCTTATAAATAAGACAGTTAAAGATACGTTCATTAGTGTTGACATAATTCTACGATTTCTTTGATGACATAATTCTACACATTTCTTTGATGACATAATTCTACGATTAATGAATTTATTTTGTTAATAATATAATTGAGTGATTTACTGAAACACAACACACCATAACCCAACATCCCTTGTATTTTTTCACGATAAAATAAATGCTTCATTCATGTGTGTAATAATGAGCATTAAATAATGAATTTTCTGAAAAACAATCTTTGTCTTCTTTAGGTGTCTTTAACAACTTTATATATACATGCATAATATGTGTGGTGTTCATGAGCAAGAATGTGCATAGTAAAACAGAGAACAAGACTACTAACAATAAACCAGGTACAAAAACAAATAATGATTTGAATCATGATGAAAATGAGTTAACATTAATATTCATTTTCTATATTCATAGTCCTCAAGCAAGAAGTTGTCTCAATTTATAATGAAAACTTCACTGACATTCCCAAGGACAGGGAGCCATATTATGTTAAAGTTCAACGATGTGTCATCGATAAAGATAAAATTCCTACATGTTCATTATGTTGGCCCCAACCTATGACATTGACAGAAGTCGAGATTGTCGTTCCTGATTTAAAAAACTACACAAAATTTTACAAATATATTGTATATAATCACACTTCTTGTTACCTGGAAAAGAACTTAACAGCCGTGAACTTTAATCTACACAAGAATCTGTCTTCAAACGAAAGTAAGGACTTCTGTATTTAATTAAAATTTAAACTGAGATCTAAATTTGAAACGCTTTTCCTTTTGTGTTTACAGTTAACGAAACAGAATTTACAACAAAAGTAAAATACAATCCACCAAACGTGAGAACATGTAATGACTATTGCAAGCATCCACAACCTCGTTTTCATCTGCACAGTGAATATACAAAGGTTGTTTTAAATTATCTCTTTATCCCATTCACTCAATGCTTGCCTGGTTGCAAAGCAACAAAAAAGAAAACATCAAAACACAAACCCTAGATGGTTCAACCCTATATGAAGTTGTCAGGAATCACTCATCGTGCAACTTTTGGAATACAAAGTCCATAAAAGTCACCTTCCAATAGCAGACGCAGTGATCCAGGTAAAAATTTTCAATTATGATTGAAAAATTAACCAAAAGCGTACTGTGTGTAATTAGATGTGCACAACTTTTGAGAAAAATTGCAAAATAATCATGTTTTACGATTTGCTTCATGATCTTATTTCCATAAAATTTCTCTACAGAAAGTCGACCCCACGTGCTAAATAAAGGATTATTTGTTTACATCACATCACCTAAATTGATGTTAGTTGCCTTCATTCTCTCGACTGTCCTCATCTCAATACTCATTCTGGACTGTAATCTGTGTCATCGTAAGAAAGGAATAATGTATTCGATAAAAAGTTGTGGAAAGAATGAAGAGTGTAAAGACTGCGTAAGAAGACAGCAAACTATGATAGAAATGGTTTAAGTATCAGTAGTTTTTGTGTCACATTTCTGCTAAAAAGGAAGACATGAATAAATAAAGCATCTGAAATCAGGCCCATCGGAAGCTGTGAGGATTGGGCAGGCTGCAACCCCCTTTCAGTAATTTCCAAAATTGTTGTGAAAATTTAACAAGCCCCAGCTTTTCCCCGAATCTTCTAGGAGAAAGTCATATACCGTAGAGTCTCGAAATAATAAGCTGCCCGGGCTATTTTAATGTTAAAAAGGCGGCTACTTCAATGGTGCAGTTACTTCCAGTCGAATGATATTTCGAGACTCTAAGATATTTGAATTTTCAGATCCCCCAATTCTTACTTAGAGCTTCCAACGGCGGTGAAAACAAGAAATGGCTGAACATTGTGCTGTGCGACAAGATGAATGACGTACAAATCATGACACTCCACGCAACGCTATTAAAGTGTATGAATTGTTTTCAGCAGAAACTGTGAGCGTAATATTCTAATAATTGAATAATATTCTAAAAGCTGTATAACATTTGAACTAATTTCTACCAAGTCAACATTTATACTAGATATTTTTAATTAAATTAAATTTTCTTTAGTGATATTAAACTGGAATTCATGATTACTGGAATACATGTTATGATACTCCCGGGGTTCAACCATTCACTTTATTACTGTTTTGTGTTAGTGACCTGTCATTTTTTTAGTGAAACTTGCCGACATTGTGAAAATATTAGCCTGTTAAGACCAATACATACGTCGAAGACACGCGATATCAATGACTATCGCACGTGATGACAAACATTGCCTACAGCTGTGAATTGAGGAATATATTTGGATAAATCGATTCTAAAGAAGCGTTAAGTGATTTCTAGGCAGCCGATGATGTATAAACAATTGACAAGTTGAAATCGTCAGCTTGCAACGTACCACTTACGTCACAGGTCATAAAATTGCCGTGTTTTCCTAACTATTTTTAACTGCATTATTGCCTCCGTGGAGAATATTAATTACGTGTAAGCACTCCAAAAACTCGTTTGTATACCTTAAATAAAATTACAGCATCAATATTGTTGCCAATGAAGTGCCAGGTGGGAAACGGATTCTCAATATAAATGTTAGGCCCAACAAATAATTTTAAACATAGTCATAAACAGTTTGGTTTATGAAATTTATTAAAAGTGATGTTTTCGTCTTTACTCAAGACATCTAGTTAGTCTGAAGACACCTAATTAGTCAAGACACCTAATTAGACTGAGGAATTACTCCAAAGTTAGTTAAAGATTTAAGTAAAATGTTTTGAACCTCGATTGTTTGCATGGAGAATTCTTCAAACTTATTGGCAAGACATCAAGCTAAATCGCTTTCATTTTAACAATCATTTTTCGATATTGTGGATGAAAATTCTAGTTTTTAGTTCACATTCACGTTATAGCAAAATAATTCGAAACTGACCACAATAGTAAAACCACAATGCGAAACCGAACTGTTATGATAAATAATTACATGCGCATAAGCAACCATTTTCATTGTTTAGTTAACGTCACAATACTAACTAAAACGTACGGTGGCCCACAAGGGCAACGTCAATTTCAAATCATTACACTAAATTCAAATTCATCACACTAAATTCAAATTCATCACACCAAATTCAAATTCATTACACCGAATTCAAATTCATCACACCGAATTCAAATTCATCACACCGAATTCAAATTCATCACACCAAATTCAAATTCATCACACAGATTCAAATTCATCACACCAAATTCAAATTCATCACACCGAATTCAAAATTTGAATTGGTGCCAGGCCCATTCGTGGGAGTACTTCATGTTGCTTACAATTTTATTGTTATTTTAAATCTCTCGTTAGTTTCAAAATGGCAAATTGTCATTCTTGCAATGCTCAAGTCGCACTTCGGGATAAATTTTGTAGTCAGTGCGGAATTAAATTGTGTTGTGAGGTTGTAGCGATCAAGTACTACTTTAAACAAGGCTATAAATACGACACGATAACAGAATTTTTGGCGAAATTTCACGATGTCCATATTTGTGTTCGAACTTTGAAGAACCGCTTGAAAACATTAGGACTCTCTCGAAAATTTAGGAATACAATGAGTGGGAAGTAAGAGAGAAGAATTATGCGCGAACAGTGGACCAGGTTGTATGAGCGGATATCGGGGAATCTGGCATATTCTTAGCAGGGAAGGATTTATGATACCGAGGCAAAAGTTCAAGAGTTGTTAAAGGAATTAGATCCAGAGGGTTGTGAAACAAGACGAGCTCATCGTTTAAGGCGGAGTTTATGTAAATCCGGGTCAAATTTTGTTGGCACTTGGATGGATATGATAAACTGAAACCGTTTGGTTTCCCCATTCATGGGTGTATCGACGGTTTTCAGTCGTAAAATCATTATGGCTGCATTTGACTAAGTCAAACAACAATCCCAAGCGATACTTAAACTTTTCTTAAACTTAGTCATGTCGTGCCATGGCTGCCCTAAAAGTTACGAACTGACCTGGGAACCGAAAATGGCCTTGTTGCAGCTGCACGATGTTACTTCACAAATGATGACCAGTCTCATGTGTATGGTACATCTCAACACAATCAAAGAATTGAAGGGTGGTGGTCTTACTTTAGAAGAAGCCGAGCAAACTGGTGGATTAACTTTTTTAAAGACTTGATGAATCAGGAAGTTGTTTCATCTGGAAATGAACTGGAAATGGAATGCCTATGGTTTTGTTTTCAAGTCTCATTCAACAAGACTTGAATCATGTAAAAGATCATTGGAATACATTATATAAGAAGATCAAGGTTTGACACGTACCAGGAAGGCGGATGAGTTATATTACCTTCCTGAGAGGCATAATTCAGAAGATTTTCTTCAACCTGTAAGTCAGCATCAGTGTGACCAGGTTCTGAACCAATTATCTTGATGAAAACAAAAGCGAATACGAAGAGTACTTTGTACATGTCATGGATCAAGCAGGCTTAGAGCTGCCTTTAGACTGGAGACAAGCCTTGGATCTTTACCATGAATTGATTTACATAGCAAAAGACCATTGATTTTATACCTGCTTGAACGGATTGCCTTTTCAAAGTCTGCATTTGATGACAGAATACTGCAAAACGACTGTTGTTAAACAAAAGCTGAAAATGAGCATTTCATTTTACAAAAATTGTTTTTTATGATTGTTATTTAACATCGGTAAACCTAAAGTTTGTGGAATCTTTCTGATAATAACATTGTATATAATTTTCTGTTTACTATGTCTGAATAACTGTTGTGACATCTTATAAAATTTACAAAATTTGAAGTAACAGCCAAAAGATTTGCTGTGAATTAAAACCAACATCAACTAATGTGTTATGTAAACTAAACGATACTCTTATAGTCTGTGTCAATTATACAGTTTCAAATGCTTCTCTTGTTTACAACTTAGTTTTGTAAAATTAAGAAGTTGCAAAAACACCACCTTTGCATATTGCTAGCAAAAAGAGATGCTGAAAATCACCAGTTTTGCTCATGTGTGCAACAGGGATTGTTATGGTACGGCCACAAGCTCCAACAATAGGAAAGCAGGTAGTATGATTAGGATTCCTTAATAGGCAATCATGATCAAATCTGACAGTTATTTTTAAAACATCACCATTTAATGACCGATGTTTCTGGCCTGTAAGCCAGCCTAAGATACCTGAAGGTGTCAGATTTGCCATTATGGAATGAGTGCTTTCATCCACTTCTTCACCATCATCAGCATACTGATCAGTTTCAGCCGGTTTGGTATTCCATGCAATTTCCTCTTTGTATCCAGATATGTGATTATCTTCCAGTGCCATGAAGAAATCTTGAAAGTTATCCATGATGGTTTCTTCAAGCATTCTTCTTGAAGTACCATCATCAGAATAATCAGGGCACAGCAGAGAAAAAAGAATTTGCATCTACATCGTGAGTTTCTTTGCCTTTCACCAAAACATTTTTGGCTACTTCTTCATTTTCTTTAACTGCTTGCAATACACGAACTTTTAGCCCTTCCAGCAAACTCTTTAAGAAAAGAATTCGTTTGCCAATTATGCTCATTACAGTTCCTATTATGTCATCAGTGTGCAAGCCATCTATAATGCCAGTGTACCCACTCTCAATAATGAAATCTCTGTGAGTATGAACATCTTTCTTTATACTTTCAAGAGCTCACGACCAGCTTCAGTAAAGTGCTCTTCTAATACTAAGTTACTCATATCAATATTAGGATTAAGCATCAAGTTGTAGCACTTTCATCCAAAATGCATGGTGGGGGACCTCCTTGAGCAATGGAAGTAGCAGCCAATTGACCACAAGCTCTAAAGTTTCCATTCTGAATATTGTACACAGAGTCAATTGGTGTTCCATTGGGAAACATTGTCAAACTCATTTGCGAGATTGCTTCAGACAAAAATTCTTTCGACATGGCACCTGAGTCAATGCCATCTTCTCCCATGTATTTAACTCGAAGTACTTTGTTGGGGTCAGATCTTTTGCATTCTCGCTGCCATAATGATAAAGATCGAATAATTGAAGCACTGCGTCGCACAACAAGGAAAAACTGTCCATTGTAGTCAACGTTTTTCTCAATGCCTTTCATAAATGTGGAAAGATCAACGTTGTCAACTTTATATGAATTGGGAATGTCTTTTAGTTCTTCACTTCCAGTGACAATAGTTGTGGGCACTGGTAATTCCTCATCAAGTTCAAGCTGCAACTTTTTGGCTAGGTTCTCATCACTCAAAACTTGAGAATTATCTTGTGAGAAATCTTCACAGAAGTGAAGATTTTCATTAAAAAATTCCTCATCTTCATCATCAGATGACTCGCTTCGAAATCTCTTTCTGGATGTAGAGGCTTTTTCTCTACAACCTTCCTCTTCCTGTAAAATAAAATCAGTTTTTGTGCATAAATACAAAGTGATCTTGTTATAATCTCTTCCCAGTTCTTCTTTGTATTGTTTTAAAGTAAAAAACTGCTTTTTTGATCCAGGAAGGAAAAGAGCTTCTTTTCCATCTTCAAAAAGGAGCATGTATTCTTCTTCATCATCGTAGAGATTGCTATGAAATGCTTTCCACTTTGTTGTTGCATTTTTCAAAATTTCTTTGTAAGGTGCTTCATGTGACACATTTAGTGCCATTCGTTTTCCACGTTTTGGTTTTAAGCTTTTTTCTTTGTCATTGAATTCAAACAGACCAATAAACACTTTAACAGTCTTGTCAGAGCTTTTCTCCTTTCGTCCCTTCCCTTTTGAAACAGTAGATTTCCATTGAGACCCTTTAGTTCTTTGGTATTCATTAAATGTTTTTATTGATTTCTTTCTGTGAGTGGATGCATTGTTTAGCTCTTCATCTACAAATTATTCAGATTATAATTCATCAAAATGTGAAAAAGATATTGGCTAGTTCAGCTATCATAAAAACACCTGCAAATGTTGGCTATATTCCAAAGAGCTTGTATCCTAATGTCATGACCAATCTATCAAACTTACCACTCAAAATTCAAGTCTCATAAACTGTATAAATGCAAGATGCTTTTAGCTACATAACAATTGGCAATTTTAAAGCTCACAATTTATAGAATGCATTTGTGTTATCTTCAATAATTTTTTTCCTGAATTGAACCAGCACTTTAATGCTATTAAGGGAAACAAGGATGTTATTATATTACAGCACATGTCACCAGGCTTCATATAAATGACAAAATGAGCAATATCAAGCATCTCATGTATTGTTCTTTATAAATGATAAAAATGAGCATTTCGTATTCATTTATAGTGAGTTTAAACTTCAAAATCAAAAATTATCTCAGTTCACCTGATTTTATCTTTTCAGTTTTTGTGATTTGACCAAATTCATCTGCATCAGATTGAGCTGGAGAACACAGAATAATAGGAAAAACAAATTTAAAATAATCTCAAATTCACATACTCATGCTATTATAATCAGAAGTTTTGTCTCATCAGTCAAATGGATGAAGTTGAAATATGTCATTATCAAAGCCACATAGTTCCTGCTAGTATTCAAGTAATAAGTTCCTTACACATAATGTCATTCGCAAGCATTTAAAGACAGTAGAATTATAACAATTGCACTGATATTTATAGTACTAGCACCCAATATTTTTCCGTCAATTTAAATCTCATCGATATTCGTATCGAAACCTGTGAAAGACTAAGTTTATCAATAGTTTCTGTACAAGCTTACCTTTTCCACAGTTGGGGCAAAACTTGCAATCAACGTGAGCATTTAAGCAATGACCACATCGACTGCAAAACATGATGGTCGCCAAATGAAATACGCGCCTTCGGTTTATGATTTTTGTATTTTCGCCAGTTTTTCGCATCAAAAATTGCACCGTGACATGAAGTAATAAGTGTTCCTAAGCAAAGCCGCTGATCATGCGCGGGCATGATCACAATGCATGATGATGAGTGATGAATTTGAATTTGGTGTGATGAATTTGAATTCGGTGTGATGAATTTGAATTTGGTGTGATGAATTTGAATTCGGTGTGATGAATTTGAATTCGGTGTGATGAATTTGAATTCGGTGTGATGAATTTGAATTTAGTGTAATGAATTTGAATTTAGTGTAATGATTTGAAATTGACGTTGCCCTTGTGGGCCACCGTAAAAACGTGACTAAAGATAACCTCAATTAACTTGCCTAGCACATATCATGTATGATAATGTATGATATAATGTTGTACACCAAATATAATTACTCCAAGATTTTAACATAATTATCGAATCCAATGAAAAACAGATCAGTAGCTACATCATAAAATAATGTATGATTACAACGAAACGAACCGTCTTTTAAAAAACTATTTAGAGCTAATGGTCAATTTTACTTGACTTGCCACGGCATTTTCAAATGATTACAAGTTAAGAATGAAAGGGTTTTGAAATAAAATAAAGATATTTACACAGACAGATTTCTTTATATAGACACAATGCCTTTCCCCATAGTAATAACACCAGGTACTATACACCACTAACCACTATACCACCAATCTCTATTTAAAAAACAAAAATGTAACAAATTACATGAACATACTGTGAATGAAGCTTGAGTGAATAATATATTTCTGTAATGAAAAAAATCAGGTAGCCACACATGTTTTTCGAAAAGATTTTATGTTTTGGACTGAATGCTTTCAAAAACATGAAAATTTCCGTCGAAACTGACTTGCGGTTAGCACATAAAACTCATCATCATTATTCTTACAGCGCATTTCGGAGGCAAGGAAGAACTTTCTTTCCTTTCGAACAAACTGGAAGATTCCAGGTAGCAAAAAGTAGAGCAAATAAATAGACCGACGCTTGGAGATTCATTCATACTTTGTACTCGGCTGCACATACAAGAACAGCTGAAGACTGTCAAAAAATAGCAAACCAAAGAAAATCGAAATTATTGTGAGAAATCGTTCGCTCGCTCATATTGGAAAAAAAAAGCAATGGGTGAGTCAAAACTACAGTTGTTGTAAAATTATCGGCAGTTTATATATTGGTAAATGTAATGATTTCTTCAGCGAATACTTTTTTAAAACAATAAAAATGGAGCACATGAATTTAAAATCTTACAAAAAACTGACAAAATTATCTCACAGTAGGGCGGAGCTCTGATCTCATGCAATACTAAATGATAATTAATTTGCAGTAACTCTAACATAAGCCAATATACGTCATAAGATCTAATCAAGTTAGCTTGCTATTAATAAAAAGTGCCGGACCGGGGTACGTCAAAAAATAAATTACTGCAGCTCCTTTTACAATATATTTACAAGTTTACAAACATTTTAGATGCAAGTGCATTGGTAAACTTATATTCATTAGAAATTCCGAACCAATAGTGTTTTTGAACATATTTTTCGAATATAAAATCGAATTGAGCTATATAACTTTATTTTGCCGAACGCTGAGTCCGCTTATGATTTAAAAACAAATTTGTCGGCAAAAAGTATTTGGAACTTCAACATACATAGACGTTTTCCGCCGTGCAAACAAGGATGACGTTATTACAAAAACTCTCTATACAAAGAGATATTGAAACAATGACGCAAAAAACGTCATTTGCAGTAATGAGTGCGTGACTAACAATGTACGTATTGTATAAAAATACCTATTTTACAAAGTGTTATAGTTAAATTTGTGAGTGTAAAGTGAACGGACTGAAGAAAAAACAAAAGGTAATCATTATTTAGTCTTAAATATTTCATCTAGTTCTCTCGTGGTTATTTAGAAGTCATTTGTGTCTCTAAATAACCATAACTCTACACACCATAAGGAAAGCATTGTAAGATTTAATAAAACATTTTTTAATAAGTATAAAGTTTTCGATGGCAGACTTTAATAGGGTTGTCTATAATAAAGTATTTTATTGAACATTAATATGTTAAGATTTTCAACAGTTCGTTTCTGTGATATTGTAGTGATTTATGCGTATTTCAAAGGAAACCCCACCTATGTTAGTTAAAGGTTTCTTTTTGTTTAATCAATGTTTTGGTAAGATAAATAGGGGATTAATAACCAGGACAAGCAGACAATTTTAAGTAAAATAAAATAAACAAATTCCGAAAACAGACATCTCGTTTTCTTAATAATCAAAATGATACAAGAGTTATAGACAACAGATTGTGTAATATTTTGTCTTTATTCCAAAGACATCATCAGACTAATAGGGGATTGATAAAAAGTCTTTATTTTCAATGATTAATATTACTTACACATTTACACAATATCTCATCAGATAAGTAAATACGAAAGTATACATACACATAACAATACAAAATTTGCATCTACAGCAAAAGATTATCTCGGGAAGATATAACGACAAATTCGTCTTGGTTTAGGGTAAAATTTAACGACTCTACTAAAATACTTGTCTGTTTAGCCCGCTTGCCTTTGTGAGTACAAATTCGAGCAAAAAAAACTTTTGGCAAGATATAGCATATGACATTTAACGCGCATAGGTGTAGTTAGAGCATGAGTCAGTACAGACAATTTCGTCATCGCCTGTTTAAACGTACTTCGCATACAATTGTAATTGCTGTAATTTCATCAGCGATACCTTCCAACTGATTTGATACATTCCAACTGATTCGATACATTCCAACTGATTTGTACATTCCAGTTGATTTCTTACATTTCAACTGATTTCATACATTCGGATTCCAACTGATTTTATACAATACAAATGATTTACAACACTACCTATTCATAAATAGTTGTAGTTGTTGTAATTCAGGTGATACTTACTAGTATCAAATTTGATCATTTATCGTACAAGAATTCGAAAGTAAAGATGAATTGCCATCGCCGATAATCGTTCACGTGTAAATTTCTTATGTTGTAAATGTTGTAAGAGTTGGACAAGTTCAACTTCTTGAACAGCTCTCGATTTGTCTGCGATTAAATTACAACAATTACAACAATGACAACGCGCGTTTACTTATAGTTGTAATTGCTGCAAACGTTCATCACCGATCGAATTACAACAATTACAACTATATGTGAACTAGGCTTTATGGTAAAGTTGGTGCTGACAGACGAAAAACGAAAAACGTTTTCCTGCAGTTTCTTTTAAATCATGCACTCTTTATGACATTATCTATTAAGGAAGTTCGCAAATTTTTTATTCTTTTAGCAGCTCAAGAGATAATTGTTTAATTCTATACATGTGTTAAGAGTATCTTTGTATAAGTCAAGCTTGAATTAATAACTACGATAACATAGCTAGATTTCTATTTTCAAGTTCTTATGTATCGAATGTAGTGTGGAATGTCTGAGACTGTTACAGTAGCATTCCGATCGTTTACACGAAATCTTGGACGAAAACATTCAAAATTTAAAATATTTTACGAGGAAAGCTAAACTATCTTTTCAAAGCATTTCTATAATGCCAGAGACAAATTTAGCTCCTAATATGGTTTGAATTACTGAATGAGAATACCATAGACGCACACAAAACACAAAGCAACCAATATTTGCACGTATGTGTCCTTATAATAACCCAGCATGACAGCAGTCGTGGGCGAATATATTATTTTCATTGTCTGTAATATACAAGTCAATGCATATCAAAGACATACTGCAATAAATAACTAAAATAAGCAATGATATCGAAACATTAAAAAGGGAAAACCCATCGAGTATTTATGTGTAGATCTGATTAGTTACATAGAAAACTTTATTTTAGTAAAATACAAAACTTCTTTTGACAGCAAGCGGTCAAAGGAGACTTTGACAGCAAGCGGTTAAAAGGAGACTACTCAGTCTATTCTTCGGCAAACGACAAAATGAATATCAAATGCTTATGAACAGACATGAAAACCAGGCCGTATGCACAAGCTTAACTACATAGTGGTAAATAATATCTTACGGTGCCCGACAGTGATTGTTTAATATTATACACGATTTATATATGAGTAAAAATATCCTGCAGTCTCAGTTTGCTTTCGGTCTCAAAAAAATCCCTTAAACTACGAAAGAGAGTTGTGCAAGAAGTTAATATTTTTAACCGCTGCATACAAACAGAAACCATCGCTTTAACAATGGAAAAATATGAAGATGTATAACCGGAATATTATTTGTGTAATAACGGCCACCGGCGTACATCGATGTTATAATAACTAATTATCATATTACAAAACGATGCTAATATGTAGTATTTGATTGTATATATTGAATAAGTTGTAAATAAATCAACACTGAACAACTGACAGAGCAAGACCCAAAAGATAGCATGAAAGAATTAACGACATTGACTTCAACTTTTGGGTCGCGTTTATAACAAGTTAACCGCATCAAGTCCTTCACAGCTATGTAGGTATTTTGGTGTTTGTTCACTGTAAAAACAATATCCGTTAGGAAACCAACAATGATATCGTGTTAAAAAACGTACAGAGCATGAACATGCAACTCTTGAGATGGCCGCTAGGCTAGCGCTTAACAGTTAATAGATTGTCACTTTGTCGTTTGCAAAAGCTCAAATGCTTTGCTTTGCTGTCTTTTGTCTTTAATTTAAGAAAATATTTTAATTCTTGCTTTGATTAGCGTATTTGTCGTGGTGATTGACAATTGAGTAGTTCTTCAAAGAACAGTTGAACACCAAAATTAGGATATTACATAAAATTAAAATGACACGATGCATTTCGGCAAACTGCACCATAATTTTATAACTATCTTCATTTCAGTTTTCTACAGTTCTTGAGAACTACTTAAATTGTCGATCACCATGACAAATACGTTAATCACAGCATTATTAAAGTTCGTGACCACAATAAAGTCTTT